GAATTTCTCTACAAAATTTGGATAAAGTATCTGATTTTTTGGCATTTCTGTACAATGTAGAGTATTGACTACATGTATGTGTACTTTATTCCTTGCTAATTTCACTCTTTACTCCTCTATTTTGCATTTTAAAAAATGACTGTCATGATATTTGTTTGATTTGTTTCTAGTGCAGTAATCTGTTAACAATTACAAGATCACATTCCTTCCTTTACCCTGAGATTACAAGCTATTGCTAGCCTCTGACTAGCACCGATTGTTTTATTGTTTAGCATACAACCAATCAGAGAACATCACATATAGACATGGTAACACCATACATGAGCAATATTTGACATTGATTGGCTCAATGAGTTCAAAGGCTTATCTACAATTTATAGAGTGCGAGATTATCTTGATTATTTTTCTAAAGTTTTTTTCTCCTGCAAGGCAGTTTCTATGGTGTCTTTAAACTGGACATGTTTTGAAAATGAAAGAGAGGAAGCAGGAAGAATTGCTAAAACATACAGTTTGTACTGGACCTGATTTCACGTTTTGTGGCAACTATCCCTTTACTCTTGGTTCCATAGGGAATGGGGGGGGGGGGGTAGAGAGTAAATGTGGCAGGAAATTAGAGTCTTGTGGTAACACTATAATGATTTAATGACTTACAAATCTTACATTAGACAAAAATAAAACAAACCATCATTAATTATCATATTATGGTTTACTGGTTTCCTGACACTGGCATTGTCTCTGGAAATGGCCAAAGGGAAGATGTGGGCTGATTTGGTTGAACCGCACGATCTCTAATTTTGATTCATAAAGGGACATTGACAGTTGTCTCAGGTTTCTTGCGTTTATTTATCAGATATCCTGTATGCTGTTGTTCTGCTGTAGTGATGCTTCAACACTGTATACCCCTGCCCCTCCCCCATGTACGATGAATGTCACCTTGGCCAACACACACTGGTGAGTGAAGTAGGCCAAGGGAGAAGGGTCCAGGGGGGGGGGGGGCATTGAGCAAGACTAATCTGTTTGTGTCATATTTATATGTATTTTAGTAACACAGAAGTTAGTAACATGCAATGGTCCTCATTCACTGGATATGAAGATTTGTCTGCTATGCAGATCATAATCAAGCTATTTTTCTTAATCATGATAAGAAAAACTTGCACTTTATATTTTACCCCAGATGTTTTGTTACACATAGAAAATATCATCCTCAATGCAACCTTCACTTTTGTTACACAATATTTGTTTGATTAGAAATAACATGTTTGATCAGGGAATTTCAAATCAGGGAAAAGTCAGGAAATTTTGATTTGGAAATGTTCTGGCATTGGCAGTTACCCTGTGAATGGTTTGAACATTATTTTTCTCAATATGTATAATATCAAGTGGAAGTATGTAAAAATTTGATGAACATAGTTTGTGTACAACTTACACTTTCATCACTGTATCTTTATTACTACAAACAATAACTCCATAATATGTTCAAATAAATCAGGAAAGCATAACTAAATGTGTTGTTGACACTGACAAAAACTGGACTGAAAATCATGACGTTAGTGTAAATAAAACAAAAATAGAAGTTAAATATAGTACAGAAAAACAAATTTCAGATATTAATATTATCACAATCTAATAAATTAAGATATTTTATGGGGCATAAATCGGAATGGGGGTGGGTGTATTTTGGCTGGTTGAAACTTGAGACAATGTTTGGTGCTAAACTGTGATTCAAAACTAGGAAACACTTTGTATCTGGTTCAATAAGGGATAAGTCAATTTAGTGTGATGTCTAAATTTGAAATTTGTTCCAGAATAGGGCTTTCATTAGTAAACAGTCAATTTTCTTTGGTGTTGCAGCAAAAATTGTTACTTTGGAGAAATTGCTGCTACTGCTTACATTTGAATTATGTGGGTGTTTTATTAGTGACTTATCCCCCCATGCTCAGTGGTAAGTCAGCTAAAATTGCCCTTGGTTTTAGTGTGTCCTATATGTAAACTTTCCTCCAGTACTGATGGTAACTGTATACCTCCCTTGTGAAAAAATTTGTGAAAATTCAGCTCAAGTGAAAAAAGAGAGAACCCAGCAAGGAAAAAGATAAACAGGCATGTAGTTAACACTCTAAATTATACAGAAATGCAAGGAAATCTGACACTTAATTCAAATTTCAGAGAGAAATGTAGGAAAATTGTTGTGACTTGTTTGGCTGAGTTACAAACATAGTGTTATGTTCCTTGGATTGAAATGTCATACGGTCATGATTTAATTTTCAAAATAGAGTGGAAAAGAGTGGAATCAGCAAGGAATAAAGTAAACAGGTATGTAGTCAACACTCTAAATTATATAGAAATGCAAAAAAATCAGATACTTCATTCAAATTTTAGAGAGAAAATGGGTGAAATAAGCATGAGCAGACGGACATTTTGTGCAGACGGATATATACTACATTACAGTCATACAGATTCACAGAAAGGCATTGAAAGGAAGGACATATTTAGCATTAGACCGTGATGACACATTCTATTCAAAAACTTAAAAAAATAAATTGAATCATTAGACTGACAAGTGTTAAGTGCTACAGTTGTATGAATTTCATTAAAAACAAGTTGAAAGGATAAAATACTTGTAGGAAATCAAATAAGTGCTGGTTTCAAGTTGGAACTTGGCTGTTTTAATTTCCTATGATTGGCATATGAACTGATGGGAGCAAATTATGCTACAATTTGAAATCAACTATACATCCTATCATTAGGAGAAAATTTGGATTTATTTGGATTAAAACGGATTGGATTTAGATTGGATCAACAAGTATGTAGACTCATACATGAAGATATTTCATGAATTTTTTACTCTTTATCTATTATGTACAAGGGTCAGTGATTTAATGAAGATATTTTTTTGCATTTGATCAGGTTATCCAGTAAAATAACTAAAAACTTTAAAACTGCATTAGGGCCCAGTCAACCATAGAGCTTTGAAAGAAAGGACATCAGTGCTGTTTTTATATTATATTAAGGGGAAAATAAGGTGGGGAGGGTTGAATAGAGCTTGTTGTTTAATATTTATTTTTTATTTATTTTAATGTTTTTATAATAACCTCATTTTGACAATTTTTAGAGATTTCAACATGTTTCTTCCCATGAATAAAATGTTTAGTTTTTCTATCTTGTAGAATTTCAAGTAAGCAAAATATTATATTGGTAATATACCTGTATGAATTAGTCTGCTGGTTCCACTTGTTTTCATCCTCTTTCAATATCAAACGTTGAAGCATCGTGACATTTTAGACAAAACAGCTTGGTCGTTTTGCTCTCTCGATTTCAAATAGCGGTAAGAAATAGCAACTGTGAGAGAGAAAAAATATGAGTTCATTTGACAAAAATGTTCTGAAATAAGTTGTAATAAATTGTCAACAAACGGTTATGAAGGTTACCATGGCTACCATGCTCTCATTCGGACATATTAATCTACAGATTTATATCAACTTGCATTTTTTGTTTTCTTGGGATATGGGTACAACCTGTCAATTATATAGGCAAAAATATAGTATCATAACATATAAACATAACAGACATATTCAGAATGGAACGGCTAGATTTGATATATCTTATTTTTAAAAAGTGTTGAAAGAGGGAATCTCTAATATGAGGGAAGGGGTGGCACAATTTATAAATTGACAACTTATGCCTCAGTCTTATTTATCTATGGCATCCGTAAAGCAGCCGTAGCTCCCAAAATCGAGAGAAATCTTCAGCAGGGCTGAGCAGTATGATGTGGATTTTCTATGTCAATAGATTACACCCGCCATAGAGAAATTCCACAGTGAATGTTAGAAATCAGAAAATATATTGTACCATTAATTGTTTTGAATTTTTCACTCTGATATGTCAGCGTGTACCAGTAAACATAAACTTTTAAGGCAAAATCAAAGTAACATTGTATACCTAAGCCTCTAGCTAACGTTCACAACATGTTAAAAAACTTGTACGTTTCTTTGAAGTTCTTGAGCATGATTTATGCCATGTTTCTTTAATGTTAAAGTAGAAGAGTGGGGAGGGGGCTATTTTTATAAGGAGGGCAATGTGTTCTCATTTTATGATTTGTAGGCAGGCAGGGAAGAGAAAATGATGCTTTGAATGTGTGTTCTTGAGGGCTATCTTTGGGATTCACAGGGATGGTGTTCAAATAACAGCAGTTGTTGAAAATGAAGTTGATATGGTTATGGTTTATAAATGTTAATTTCTGTGAATATCAAGGTCCAAAAATCAATATTTTTCACAAACAAAATATACATTCCCCAACCTCTGCCAAATGAACTTAACATTATCTTCTTCAAGTTTTGATTACAAAATTCAAAATAAGCAGCCACCCCTGTTTTCTTTACCAACTAGTGTGTTGGAAGATTTATAGTCAAGTAATAGGAGTGGGTCACAGTAGTTCAACGTCGTTAAACTCAATAACGGCGTTGTTTATTATTAAGAATTTTCTTGGGGCCATTATTGAGTTTAACCTCTTTACTATTCTTTCCATTGATGCAAGTTTTGGATCCACCGAAACCATTTTTCCGCGATAACATGCAACTGATACTTGACAACAATATAAAAACACATAACATCAAGCGATTCAACACAATATTATTGTATTAAATGGTCATTTATACAAGTAAAATGAGGTTAAACTTACCAATCTCTAAAATGACATTTCCGCATGTCCTTCATTGTGTCTGTTCGTCCCGGGTTAAAATTTAAACTATTGAAACGAAATTGTTGTCAAATAGATTGATAATTATCACGCGATTACTCGGGATAAAATAGCCATTTTTGAGGATAGCAGGTATCTTTGATTGATTTATATAGCGCTTGTATACACACAAAATCGTTATTAATTGCAAACCTACTGTTCGTTGATGCAGTGTCGCAATGACGGTTAATTCCTGATACGATTTGCAATGTCGATGTTACCGGAGCTGACCGATATTTTCGTAAAATTCCAAACCTGTCTCCAATATTTTCGTAATTATGCATCAATATGGTCTAAGGGGGGTACGGGATGGTGTGTATGTATTTATAAGGTATGTATGCATGCTTGAATCACATTCTTTATGTAATATTACCATGTTTTCGGAGTTTAATTAGTTCCGCATGTCGAAACCTGCTGAACGATTAAATGATCGCAACAAGGGCAAAATCATCATGGAAGTTAGACCTAGCCGGGGCCATAAGACATGTCAGATAAGAAACGAGGCCCAGGCTAGGTCTAATGTTGTTGGACTAGGGTCACAGGGGCTTGTAGCTACACTACAATACCTAAATGAAGGTTCTCCTGAACTCACAGCACGTTTTACTTCTTCGATACCATCCCTCATCTTAGATTTCCTAGGTATGATGTTTTCATTGAAAATCAAACTGGGAACGAGTATGACCATCCCTAACTATGTCTATATTCAGTCCAATGGTTTGTTATCATTTCAAGGAGTACATTATGAAATGATGTAATTGAGTTTATCTTCCAAATGTGGGAATCATTTTGCTGTTATTTCTGCACACCTTTATCTTGGCTGAATCAAGATCTCTGTGTCTGATCTTTGTCAAAGTTCTTCTGCAAAATCTCAAACATTTTCAGTTTTTCACAGATATATCTCATCTAAAAAATATTGAATTTTGAATTTTTACTTTTTGACAATTTTGAGTGTAATATTCATATTTCAGCATTATACCTTGCCAAGTCCTCTAAAACTGACTCTCTATAGCAAGGTAATGTTTAAATCATAAGATGATATCATTCCTGCGTAAGAACCCAACTAGAAAAAATACTGAGTTGGTATGCTTAATCCTCTCATTTCTCTCTAAAATTTGAATGAAGTGTCTGGCTTTCTTGCATTTCTATACAATTTAGAGTGTTGACTACATGTCTGTTTACTTCATTCCTTGCTAATTCCATTCTTTTCCACTCTATTTTGGTTTTGAAATTATGACCATCATGATATTTTTGTCTAGTCAGTACCTGAAGTTTGTTTCCTTTGTTGATTGAGAGCAGATGACTATAAATCAAATTATTGAAGTTCAGTGAGAAGATAGTACGAAATGAAGTAAGAAATTAGGCAATACCAAAGTTGCAACTGACAAGATTTTTTAATGAAAAATCTTTTAAGATGTTTTTGTTCGAAAGATACAGAAAAATATTTTAGATAGAAAGGAGTGCAGAAAGATATTCTTTTGGTTCATTGGATTGAAACTATACAAATTATATGCCAGTCTGTGAAATCATAAGTTATGACTTATCAAATTTAAGTTTTCCCAAGCTATTTTCAGAATCCGACTTATTCCCAGGATTATACGATTTTGACTTCATCTCCGAAAATATTCAACTTCAACAACACCCTTTTATAAAATTAATCATGTGATCAGCTTTATCCAATCAGCAGATATCTGGTTAAGAGTAGTTTTTTTCAAGTTTCAGATTTATTTGTGTTTCCCTGGTAAAATATATGTTCAAATTATGCCATTGTTAAATTAATAAAATTAGCAGTAAACATGCTGTGAGTATAGTTAAAATCATTTGAAATTTTTACAAATTGAAATCCTAATAAAATGCTTGAAAAGATTCATTCGGGACCATTAAGATTGTATTAGTTGAGCATCATAAATGCAAACTCACCCATAGAACTCAGAGGTGTGTATGGTTTTATATTTTTAGAATTAAATTCAGACCGTGAGAATTCATTTTAATGAAGTGGCTGAAAATGTGTTTTATTGAAGTGTTTGGGTTTTATGAGATTAGCTTATTAATTTGATCTAATTACGATTTGTTTTTATTACATCAAAATGGTGATCAAAATTTGATTTTATCTTTTTTGTGCTATTGTGTTTCCTCCATCTTAAAGTTTGTGTATTTTTATAGAGGCTGTTATCACTTCAGGAAGTAAATAATATGATTAATTTTCCCCTGAGGTAAACTGACCCAGAATCTTATATAATATTGCATACTATTTTTGGCAACCTCACTTATCCATATCATTGCATATACAAGTATATGATAGTTATTCCAGACTACAGGAAAAATCAAAACGGCATGTTTTGGGATTTCAGAAATAGAGTGAAAAATAGTGAAATTTGTAAGGAATCAAGTAAACAGGCATGCAGTCAACATTCTAAATTGTATGGAAATGCAAGAAACTCTGACACGTCGTTCGAATTTCAAAGAAAAATTGAGTGAAATAGGTGTGTGAAGAAAGAATTTCTGCAGAGGTCATAAATTTCTTGCCAGCTAGTTAATTAGATTAATTAGCTTTTGAGTTCCTGAGGTCATTATTATGTTTTACATTATAATACAGATATATGCTCTGTATATTGTTCGTCCATTCTGATTTATCAGGGCCCCTCTCTATCTTATGGGTATTCCTTTTGGAATCATTGTATTTAAACTTGCTCTCTGAATAAGGGACATTTGATCAATAGGTGAAACATGGGGATTGATATTGGGGGGGGATATGGGATGGATATGACTAGGATCAGAAATTTTGTGTTTATCTTTGGTTATCACTCACATTTTTCTTGGTTTTGTGGTTTCGCCCCCTTTGGCTATATTACCATATCAGATGTACAATGTAAGTGTTTTTAACATCAGATTTAATTGCTTTTCTTGGATAAGCTAGGAAGAGAATAGTATGTCAGCAAACTAATATACAAAGTAGAAAACATATCTATTGGTGACTTTTTCTTATGAAGTCAAGAGTATAGAAATACCTGCTACCCATTGCATACAGTTTTAGGTAAAATACATATTAACATTGAACACTATGATCTCCAAAAGGATTTTTCTCAAGTGGGTGCAAAATTCTTAAATTCACAATTCAGACCAAACATGCCTATTTTTCTCATTTTCTCAGGTGAGTGCAAACCTATTATCAAAATCTCTGGGTGCTCAGCGCCTACTTGCGAGAAAGTTATTCCATAATTAGAGGGTTCGTTTTTTGGGTCACCCTGTAAAAAGGAACACCATGAATTAAAATTGATGGCTTTTGAAAACACTTGACTGGTCAGTGCTTTGGGAATTGCCTACACATATATGGCATTATTTTTGCTTCTTTATTCATTAAATTCAAATATAGTCGATATATGAAATATTTATATTCGCTAAATCATTTTTCCATTCGGTAAAAACGTTTATTTGTTTGTTACAGCAAATTAAGTTTTCAAAATAGCCAATCACTTAATACAATGTGCATTAAATTACATATTTCATTCGTTAAATGATATTTTTGCGTAAATTGTTATGGTATTCCTTAAGAGTAACACATTATATGCACAATGTTGAATTTCTATTTGAACCCTACCGAAATAAGTTTGCCTATATTTACAAAATGGTTTATTTTTCTATGAAATAGTGAATGCATTTTACCGAAAGCTAATTTGCTATTTACCGAATGCAATAAAGTAATATTCGATAACTTGCGTTGTTGTTCGATATTTTGTCACGTGACTTCGAGATTTGCAAAATGGCCGCGCAGCTATTCTACATAGTACAAATATATCACGTGACTGAAAGTCTCGTAAATTATCGAAAAATAACGAAATTTATCGAATGTGGCATTCGGTATTTACCGAATATAAATAATTTAAATACCGAATGTACAAATAATTAATTGAATTATACGTACGTTAAGGAAAACAAATTCACTGCATTACACAAATACATGTATAAATATCAAATGTGAATTGTCAATACAAAGAACAAGTGAAACTATTTAGCTAATATAAATTGTATAGATTATTACATTTGATAAAATAAAAAAAACATTTGATAGATTGGGTAAAGGTTTGGTAAATTGTTTGTTTTATTTGGTATTTATGGAATAGTAATGTACCGAATAAAGAAGCAGTTTAAACACCATACACATATGCTGGTCTCTGGACTTCCACAAAAAATTATAGCCAGCATTGGCTTTGATGACATGCCCTCTGTTCCCATATTTTTGATCTGGAACATGCCAAGAACTTTCTCATGACTTAAACACAGGGACAATTAGTAAACCTTGTATGTGGACATTCTTTCATTGTATTAAGACTTGTGTTTATTGTGTTTATGAGCTCATTATGGTCCTGGTGCATGTTAAAAACATTGTTTCTTCAAATCTGCAGTGCAAGTGTATCAGCTGGTTTACTATCTCACGTGGTACTAACTTCGACCGTTAATTTGAATTTTTGACCTACCAGATGTTTGAAAATCAAGGATTGTGAGTCTCATACTACACTGTTTTTCTTAAAACTTGTTCCATTCAAAGCAAAACAAAATTGCCTTTCTGTTGGTACATTGCTTGATTGTAATGTATCTGGGTAGTCTTGGAAATCCTTTATATTATAGGGAGGCTTTTTAATGGTATTTATTTATTTTTAAATTGTCTCTTTTTGAGGTGGTCAGCTTTTATAGCAGGGTGTCATTTAGAAATTTTCAGCATCGGGGAGATGGCCAACTATTATTTTATGTTAGCAGAATTTGGAAATCCTTTGCATTATGTGAGGGTATTTGTGTGTGTGGGGGGGGTGGAGGTGTCAAAATTGAATATATTTCCATAGTAGCTTTGTAAATTGAGTTTGAAAGTAAATCATTTATTGGAATAATTACTTTCTATAGCTAGTACAAGGATTTGTGAGATTTATTTAGAGCCCCCTCCCCCCCCCCCCCCATTAGATCTGTTTTTATCTCCGACAAGACAGATGGATGTAATTTTAAAGTTTTTGAAGTATAACAGGAATGGGAATGTGCTAAAATACAGCAATTGGCCTTATTATGTCTGAACTGTCAATGTTCAATGTTTAACAAACCATATGATATAGCAGACCCAAAGTAACACACTTAACAGCTCTTACCATTATAAATCAGAGAGAAAAGGATTTGAGAATTTTGCATTTTCAGACACAGAAAAAATGTTCATGACTTTTGCATGATATGACCTTATTGCTAGATTACTGTATTTGGGCCATGTCTGTAAATTGGTTATTGAGTTTAAAAGTTAGAAATTGTTATTTGAAATGTTTTTAAGGTCTAATGCATGAGTAATATAAACAGTTAAAACATTATAGGCAAAATATGTTTCGAACAGTTTTGAAACTGCTGTTTGCACAACATTTTACACAGACTTGTGAAGGCTCAAGTATTCCAAAGGCAGTTTGATAATATATTCCCCATCCTCCGATCACTGGGCTTCTAAATCCAGAATATATTCTTTCTTTTTACCCCCTGCGATAAGCAGTTAGCATTTGCCTGATTAAGAACTCGCATTCTGATTGGCTGTCGCAACACTGCGACACATATCATGTATAAGTCATTGCGCATAATTAGATCACATGATTCAGTTTAATTGGGCGCTTCCAAATTGGTTATAGCAGGGGGAAGAAGGAGGTACGGAATCTGGATACCTGCTTAGGAGGATTATATATTCCCCTGTTCATGCTTATTTTACTCAATTTCTCTCTCTTGCTAATCATTTCAAACTCCTAGAGGATCATATGTTTTCAAATATAAAAAATAAAAATCATTCATCCCAAGTTTTCAAGGAAATATTTCAAATGAATAAATCTAAGTTGACAAAGGGTTCTTGTAACATTATGCTTCTCTGATAAGTTTCCCTAAAGTAGAATACCACAATGATCATGTTTTGAATGCAAAATAGAGTGGAAAAGAGTGGAATCAGCAAGGAATAAGATTAACAGGCATGTAGTCAACACTCTAAATTCTCTAAAAATGTCAGAAATTAATCTTACATTTAGATCATAAATCAAAAATGAGTGAAAATTGAGGAATGTTTATACATAGGTAAACACTGTATTATAGCTGCCATGGAAACAAGAAACAGTGAACTACTGGACTAAACACCTTGTTAAGAAACTTCAAGTTTACTTTTGCTCAAAAAAATTTGCATGTTGAAAATTTCTCAGAATTTCATTCATGATAGATAGAAAAAATTGCACTGAATTACAATTAGGGGTGATTCAATTATTTTTGGGATATCGCCTTAATTTGTAAATCAACCAAAATTCTTGTTTAAAAAATCTAAAAGTTTGTTTTCAAGGTTCAAAAGCTGCCTTCACTCATAAAGTCACAAAGTCCTTGTTCATTTCATTCAATTTCTCAGTAAATCTAGAAGAAATCTCAGTTATTTTTGAATAGTGTTACAATTTAGGAGATTACAGACATACATGTCTATTCCATTCCTTTCTAATTCATGTGTTTTCTCTGCAATTTCCTGTTTCAGAACATGACTCTCCAGACTTTTTTCCCAGGTTTTTTGATAAGTGTTATTATGTAGACACCAGCACCTTATAAGTACCCTTTCTTGAAATCTGACATAGGTCATCTTTTAAAATGCAAAATACAAGTAAACAGAGAGGAACTAGCAAGAAATTAAACACACAGGCATGTAAAATATACTCTTAATTGTACAAAAATGCCAAAATTTGGGCACTACACTAAAATTTTGGAGAGACATAGCATGAAATGTCCATGACCAAAATGAAAATTTTTCTGCCAGACATTATCAAAAAGCCTCAAGCTCTAGTTAAAGTAATTGTAAAAGGAAAATTTTTGGCATAGTCACTGACCCTTGTATAATAGTATAGAGTGGAAGATATGAAATATTTCATCACAGTTTTATTACAGCTAAGGTACCACTCAAGACTGAACCTGAAGTCGCAGTTGGAAATATATTTATTTGTGTTATAGTTCCAAAACACGTTTTATTTCCTGAGAGATATCTTCGAACTCCAGGACCTCTCCGTCTCTCAAAGAAGTTGCTGTTAGCCAGAAAAAATTAGTACCAGATAGAAATCAGAATTGGACACTCAGAATTTCGGAACTTTTGGACACATGAACTTTTGTACATGAGAAAAACAAAGGACATCTGGATGTAAACAGATATATGTCAGAATAAACATCAGAGTTTGGACACCCATCATAAGAGAATGATCAAAGGATAATTTTAAAAAGGAATCAGAATATTACACAGTACACTTAGAAATATATTAAGGAACCAAGGGTTGATAACAAATCAATGATGGATTATTAATGAATGCAGAACTGAGTATGAACAACATGAAAACATGAGAAATATGGATGGAATGACAGCATAAGAGCTACAAGCTGAACTGTATACCTACCTTTCAGGTAATTTTACATATATGATATGATCTGCTTCAATTATTAAAAAATTTATGTGAACCACCTGTCAATTTAAAAATGCTTCTTTATAAAGTGTACAATCTATTTTCATCTTTCCCAACTCTCAACAAGAATTGTCATACTAATCTGTATACTTAAAGACAGCAAAAACAAACAGTTAAGCTCAATTTATTAATCAGGGTTAAGGGGCAGCGTCAATATTTCAATGTCCATCAAAAAACGTGATCGTTTACATTAGGGTGAGGGGTTCAAGCCCCGTTTAATTTGATATTTGTTATATAGAAGTACTGGCAGCTATTGTATGCTGGGGTTGTACTTGTACACTGCATGTAAATCAACATTTTGACTTGTTTATACTGTGTAGGATCAACATTTTGACTTTCGCTTGAAGGGGGAGGGGGCTACGGCCGAACTAGATTAATTATGGTTTTTGACGAACATTGAAATATTGCCCTAACCTGATCAATAAATTGAACATGTCTGTTTGTTTTTGCTATCTTTAAGTATGTATGACAATTCTATTAAAATTCACCCTGCCCTGCCTACCTTAATCCAGTCTTTTTTCATTTCATAGATGCTAGAAGCAACCTGTCTGACTTCTCACTTATATTATTTCTCATAAACATAACTGTCAGTGAATGCTGATAAACCAGCTAAGTTTGTTACTTTTTACTCTTTAACTTACCTATTGCGTATGAATAAAAAGTTGGAGCTTTACTTGGTTTAAATCTCATTGATGAAATAATATTCCAAACTTGTTTTGCAAAAATCTTAACATAAGATCAATTTTTACTAAGTGACATAAGAAAAGTTTTAAGAAAGGTATTCACACATTTGATGATTGTGAACTATTTTTGAGATATATAACATAAGGGGAAGGGGTAGGGGGCAAGACTTGAAGCAAGGCAAAACTAAACTATTGTATGATTTGATATTATTCTTTGTTTCTTTGATGTTTCCCTTACTCTCTTGGGCCCTTAATTTTCCTGCTATGTCACTGAACAAGTATGTCCCGTAAAGAAGTTGGTTCTCACTTGACTTACTAAAGATTCAGGCATCCTTATCCCATAGCTGGATTATCACTAAAATTTTGTACATAAAAATGTAAACAAATATATTTCTTATAGTGGTTATTATCTTTTGTAGGGGCAGCTATTAATACTATAAGATGAGTAGCAACAAAGGTTATAATCCACTTCATATTAACAGGGATTATACAACAACGCAAACAACCACATCAGGGGATTATGGGAGATTAACAGCAAAACTTTTACAACTAAGTGAAAATCCTACAACACCCATCCAACCGCAAACAACAACTTTCTGGAGACCAAGTCAAAAGGGGGATAATCCTGGTCATAAATGTAACAACTTTATTTCATCAAATGGTGTTAAACGTATTCAGACTATACACACATTGACACATGGTGAATCTGAGAAGTGGAAGTCTGTGAATGGACATATAGGAAATGGAGAAATATTAAACCAAAATACTACATTATCACAGGGTGATTCCAACTCTATAGGAAATTCAGATTTATCATTTGGAAACAAGAAGGAAGCAAATCGTACCAGTGTAATATTACAACAGACTGGAGATAATTACCAAACCAACCAAAATCAAATTAATCATTTTATCCAATCACACGGGTCACAAAATCAAAGCAATCATGCTCCTCAATCAACAAGACCTCATTCTCAATATATAAACACAGTTCACCAGAATTGCTCTGAGCCACAAACAGGAGTTATTAACCAACCCCAAAATATCCTAAAGGATGATGTATACAGTAACCAATACAGCCAAAATGATTACATAGACTCGTCTAACAGAAATAACTCTCAGTATATTCACCAAACTCCAGGTAATATATACACCAGGTGTGAGCCAGAACTTGGCATTTCAGATACAGTAACAAACGCACAGGGTTCTGGATCTGCTTCAAATCAAACAAATCTAGATTTCACTAATGTTCATATTACGCCAGAAATAGTTAGGAGCTCTTCAAGTATATGTGTTCAACCTCAGGAAGGTATCACTAATTCATATTCGCAAAACAAGATCTCTGCTACTTATGTGAATACATACCAACAAGATTCCAATGGTTTACTGAGGTCTAATAACTCACCAGCCACAAACTCTGGATTAAGTACAGGGAATATACATGATCAGCAGTATGCATCATTCAGAACTGATCTTAACGGAACAATAACAGACAAAACTGGTTCTCTTTGCTCAGCAAATGGGAGCTCATTTCATAAAGTTACCGGAGATTCTGCGACTACAAAGCGACCATTTTTCATCAATACTGTGAATGGACATAATTTTCGGATAAATCAATGTGATCAAGAGATAGCCACTAATTCCAGTGAGGTTAATACATCATTCAAATCAAGCACACCACATGGAGTAGTCAATCCTGTCAATGATCAGGATGAACCCATTGGGACAAAACTGACCACAAGTGAGGACTTATCTGATTTGGATTATGATAACAATTTCGACCAGTCAGATGAATTGACACTCGAGCCTATTCGTATAGGTAACAATGTAGGATCGCCAACATCTCCTACCCCTTCGTTACGTGTCTATGATCAACTCCTCCCAGGGGTAGAGTCTGACTCTAGTATGAGTCACCATAGGTTAAATCGATACAGCGGTGGGGGTTATAACACCCAGCCACGCCTACTAGGTATGCATAGTCCCACATCAAGTTCCTACACCCCTTCTGGTTCTTCAAGTGCATTTACACCATCTCCAGGCACTTATGCTACTTCCTCTGCAGGCTCATACAAGTCTTCAGCAAGTGTATTGACACCAACATCACGTTCATACAACCCTTCTTCATCAAATGTCTACAGCCCATCATTAAGTTCATACAGATCACCTACGGGCACACATGGTAAAATATCCACTATTAACATTCCGAAAACTAATGTCGACAAGCACAAAAATGAAATCAGACGTGTTATCCACTCTCCAAGTCCCCAGGGTAAATCCCTGGGAAATGTAACTGCAATAACGAAAAGATTTTCAGAGCCGAGGACATATGAAGGTTTGTCAAGCCACGGGTCACCAAGACTTACTTATATCAGAAAACTTGATGACCCAGGATCAACACCACACAGGCAGCCTTCTAGTAGTTTCTCCTCGGGAACATACAAAACACATGATAGTGCTCAATTGAATAACAATTCGCCATATTTAAGTTCAGGGGTGAATAAATATTCTGGAGTGAATAAATACTCATCTCCTATTGGACAATCATATTTAAGCAAGCCCAGTGATCCACCAAGGTCACACTCACCTTATGATAACATCCCATCAAGCTCAGCTTCAAACAATCATCATGATCCAACTTTGATATCAAACCAACCACGTCTTGTCCATCTGCGCTCTTCAGTACGCACAACAAGCCCAGCTAGATCAAATCTTAAATCTAACGAGCGTGAAAAGTTCATGTTATCTACAGCAGATCCAGTGACATTCCCAAGTACATCACCTGACACCACCAGTATTCCCGCAATGACTTCAAGCATGGCTGAGACTGGGACTCCAAAGCTTGTTCATATTCAACGATCCTCCAGCGATCCAGTCCCCGATCAACACCTTTTGAACATAACCACAGAATCAAAGGCTAAAAAGCCACAGTTGTTGATAGTAAAGACTGAGAGCAAGGCTAGTGGTAATGCAGAGAAGACCAAAAAGAATGCACAAACAAAATCAGATTACATAAGTAGCAACACTGACCTTCTGAAGTTAGCCGAGGATAAGACTGATACTTTAACAAAGAGTAGATGGGGGAGAATGAAAAGTGCAATGAAACTAAAGCAACTTGATACCAAGACCCCCAGACAGGATAAAAGCCCTAAAAGAGACAAAAGCCCAAACCAAAGCAAAATTGAATCACCCAGTGGAAAAACAGAAAATGAAGAAAAAACAGGCAAACAAAAGCAGGACAGCTTTCAGAAAAAGGAAAAAATTCAAATGAGGACAAAAAGTTTAGATTCTTATAAAATGAAACCAAAGGGTACAACTCAGCCTATCAGTATTAAATCTCTAGAGAATGAGACTTCCCAACAAATACCAAAGAAACTTGCAGCTGTTTCAGACAAACCCTCAAAATCAGCCTGGGGTAGTTTAGTAAAACTTGTTGTTGCAAAACATAAGCAGAGTAAAGATGATCAGAAAACTACAAAATCTGATTCTGAACTTTCGAATAAAATCAAGTGTGATGATACAACTGAGAAAAATGTGAAGAATGTTTTGAAGAAATCACAGTCAGTTAAAAATGTGAATAAAGGATCTCAGAGAGTGGACATTCCATTGCACACTACCACAATTGATTCAAAACTTGCAGCAGAAACTGAGACAAGCCATACTAAAAAAGTCAAAACACTTGGTAATTGTAAACCAAAATCACCAAATGAAAAACATTCGAAGAGAACTCCAAGTGGCTTTCGTTATAACAGAATTGAACGTTCTGATTCAACATCTTCGACTTCCTCCATAGATGAAGTATCTCCTACTAAAACTAAACCTGTACATTTTCGGAGGAGATCAATTTCTTCATCGTCATTGTCGGATTCTAGCAGTGGTTCCGGTTCAGTGAAAAGTGTTAGAGTTAATCCAAAATCTGTTGGAAAATATACCAAATTAAATACGCAAAATTCGCCATTCTCAAAAGGAGGCTGGGCGAAAGTGAAAACCGCAATGAAAAAATCTGATAGCAAGCATAAGCAAGATGCTCTGATAAAAGCAAAACACCCAAGTGTAATAGGCGACACTATAGAAAGTTTACCTAAAGGTAATAGAAAAGAAATCAGTGATAGTCAAAATAAACAAAATGAGATAAGTAAAGTAAATCAGGAGAAGCAACAGCTAAGCGTAGATTCACAAGGGAGTGAACATGAAAATAATGAGAGTTTATCAACTCCGGAGCAGAATACAGCTGTAGATTGTGATAAGGTACCCATAAATAAATCACGTTTAAATCAAGGTGCTGTGAAACGAATGGATTCCCTCAAGGTTGAAACTCCACGTAACAACGACATCTCTGACACTAATGAGCCTATATCTGGACAAAGTTCCGCAGATGAGAGCTGTCTGTCATCGCCATCGCCAAAACCTGACATTCCGAAAAACCGCAAAAAAGCGAAGAAAACAAAATCATATTGGTCTTCATTACGTAACTCTATTCCAACTGAGAATCAGAATTCTGAGGATAATTCAAACTTAAATAATGGAAAAACAGAAATGACGACTAGGGGTTCAGGCTCCATGTTGAGTGATTCTAACATAAAAGGGTTGGGATTTTATGGGGACTTACCTGCCAAGGAAATAGGCGTATTGGAATATCTCCAGAATTATAAAGATAGAATTGAGAAGCAGATACAAGAGACACAGGTAAGTCACTAATGGACTTCACATAATTTTTAGGCACAGTTTTCAAAAACAAAAAGTGGAAAAATCTTAATTTTGTTATCTATTTACCTCCTCCCTCCCAATTTTATGAAATGGACCAAATCATAATTAACCCCCACTCCCTCTTCTAAGAAAATTCAGTGAATTCTGCTACTGTTGTAATTTAGACACACTTCAGTATCTATAGTAAGAATTTTGTAATTCACTCCAATATGGTTATACACACCAAATAAATAACTGTGAGGTGACTGAAGAAAGTGACCATATTTGATGTCCATGTGGTTTAGTTGCCAAACAGGCATCCATATTTTTTTCTATTTTGGTAGAATTTTGTAATGTAAGAGCATCAAATGACTGGTGCTAGACTTACTGCTGAAATCCTGGTATTCATTCATCTCTGTGTTTATTTGAGTACATAATGAAATCTTCTGTGTTTGTGGACTCTGTGAATAGCTCAAGTTAGAACAATATTACCTTGTTGGCATTTTGATGAAAAATAGGTTTTGAATGTTAGCTGACTAGTATTCATGCACTACTTGGGCACATACCATGTGTGTCTATTGCATGGGTAAAAAGCTTATTGTATCAACTAGGTATATATAATATTAAACAAGTTACAGGGATATTGTGTTAAAAGTGTAGTTATAAAATGTAGTCTTAGTACCCCTCCTCCTTCCCCATTAGTAAATCCATTACATACACATGCCTTGTACACAAGAGTGGGGAAGCAGGTAGGTGAGAGGACAGATATACAGTGAGGTTAGTTTGTTGCAAATCAACCTGACAAGTCAGTTGAGAAATACACTAAACTATCACATGTACAGGGTGTCCCGAAAGTATGGGGCCCCCCCCCCTAGGCAGACATATACCAGTGTCGTCATAGTATGTGTCATATATCATTTTAAAGCTTATCCAAAGTTACATTGATTTGCCAAGTATGGTGGTTTAACTCCCAAATGGGAAAAAGTTACAGTCATTTTAAAAGTTAGTGTTTTGTCAAAATAAAGTTCAATTTTACACCACACTACTAGTCAATGAGTCCCCCTTTGGTCATGTTAACAGTAGCAATTATTTTCAGATATAACCTTAAAAGCCCTTCAAATAGGGGTGTGGAATTTTATAACCCTCTTAAAACCTGTTAGGCACTTTAGAAGAGTTTCCTTAGAGTTTCTACCCTCACCGTTCTCTTTTTCCAACTCAATATCCATCCGACTCGAAAAGAATTGCTGCTGTTAAGATGGCCCGGAAGGACACATTGACCTGTGATTTGGTGTAAAATTGAACTAAAATTTGACCAAACACTAAATTTTAAAATGCCTGTAATTTTTTCACATTTGAGAGTTGAACCATTAAACTCGGCGAATCAATGTAACTTTGGATAAGCTTTAAAATGATATATGACACATACTATGACGACACTGGTATATGTCTGCCTAGGGGGGGCCCCATACTTTCGGGACACCCTGTATTGTTAGAGGGCAATCACATAGAGACAAATGTATGTGGAGTTAGCTTCATATATGTATTCTGGGATATCCCCCTCTTGTCAGCCACAGAATAATGTCAGGAATGTTTCAGTGATGATTACTTACCAGGGAATATAATGACTTGCTCAGTTCATGTTTACACTCTTAAACAGGGGAGAACACAGGGGATTGATTTGAAATAATGAAAACAGGCAAGGAGTAAACAGTCCAATTCGTATTGAAAATTAGCTCCCTTCTAATTTGTAGAAAATAGTCCACTTTGCAAATTCCAGGGATTGAGACTCCGGGGGAAGATGAAACTGCTATTTTGTTGTTTATTAAAAAGTACCCATTGATATTCCCATCGAATCAGCTTAATAGAGTAACAATGATCTTCCTATTTCTCTTTAGCTAGGATTGAATGATCTGCTTCATCTTCTGGCTTATCTGTACAATTTAGAGACTTATCCACATCTAAGGTTACTTCATTCCTTGCTAGTTTCATAGATTTCCTCTCTATTTTGTACTTTAAAACTGAACTGACATGATATTTCTCACTTGTTATCCCCTAAATAATCAATTAGAATTGCAAATTGTGAACACTTAGATGAACCCTAGAATGTAACATAATATTTGTGACAATACATAAATTAAAATTCTTTTGAAATTCCTCGAATTTTACAAGTGCGTCCGGATCTAATTTTATTGAAACAGAATAGAGTTAAGCAACTGAGAGTGCAAATACCCGTACTCATGTTTGATAAAAATCACACATTGACATTTTGATATCGTTTTGACATCGTAATGGAGGATCTGTTAATATTCAATAAAAAGGATTAACAATTGACAAACAATCTAAGTGAATTACTACATAGCTGTATGTTTGACATTATAAAGAGTTTCTCAAATTGAAGGATTATTCAAATAAAAAGGAATGCTTTTAATATGTTTGACATTCACTTATTGAATTTTGGTATTGAAGTCATAAGCATAAAGATGTTTACTCAAGGGAAATAAAAATATTTTATTTCAATGGCATAGATTGAGGATGTTATAATATGAAATTATGACTTAATAAAATTTTAAAATCTGGGCATATACGGAAATTAAGATGGAGCAATTTGTTTCGTTTTAGTAGAATGATCATGATATGATTACGCATGTACAGTAGATGGGCAAAGGGCTAAGGATACTGCAGAATGTGAAATAGATGTGATGTCCCATACAAGGGATAAAGTCACTTAAAAATCGACGAAACTCCATTTCTGATTCATTGGAAATGTGCATTCTTAAGCTAATGCAGTGGAACGAGGGTTTTTTCCAACTGCTGGAAGAAGAAAAAGTTTACAAAAATACAAATTATTTAACTCCCCAGCAGAACAATGGAATATACATATTTCAAGTTGATTGCATAAATAGGTTGAATATCAACTACTTGTATATGTAGTTTGGATTTAACATTATAAGTAGATATTCAAAATATGAAGAAATCGTTTACTGAATCAGATGTTCTTACAATGGAAGATTTGATAAAAATGATAAGACCTTCCCGTGAAGAACTATTTAACTTGGCACCAAAGAGAATTAGAAGAAAAGTGCAGATTTATAATGATGCAAATATTCTTAGCTTTGAGGTATGTGGTAGCTAGTACATGTATATACTATAGGTGTCATGATTACAGGGTTTCATGATTTGGGCATGTTCTCATTTGATTGTGGTTTGCTTGTTTGTCTGAAGTTTGCTTGTTTGTGTTGTTTGCCTGTATGTTTTGCTTATTTGTCTGTTGTTTGCTTATTTGTCTGATGTTTTCCTGTTTGTCTGTAGTTTGCTTGTTTGTCTGATTTTTTCCTGTTTGTCTATAGTTTGCTTGTTTGTCTGTAGTTTGCTTATTTGTCTGATGTTTTCCTGTTTGTCTGTAGTTTGCTTGTTTGTCTGATGTTTGTCTGTTGTTTGCTTATTTGTCTGATGTTTGCTTGTTTGTCTGATTTTTTCCTGTTTGTCTGTAGTTTGCTTGTTTGTCTGATGTTTTCCTGTTTGTCTGTAGTTTGCTTGTTTGTCTGATGTTTGTCTGTAGTTTGCTTATTTGTCTGATGTTTTCCTGTCCGTCTGTCTGTTTGTTGTGCAGCCTATTTCAAACATCAACAAAACCAATTTTATACTTTCTAGACATATAAGGCTTCATTGTGTGTGACTGCCATTCAAGGATTTTCTAACAACCATGACTTTGGTACTTTTTAAGGTTATGACATTAATTTGCATATGAGGTCATTTAGGTTGACACAACCTGCGATCTGTAAATCTTTATTTTAATATAACGATTCAACCAATTTTTAATACATATCAGTCATTTTTTCATCAACGCGTTATTAAATTTAGAAAAGTGTCTGAATACTGTTTGACTTGCTTTTACTTTTTAACGTCTTTATTTACTGCCCAATTGATCATTTAAGTGCTTTCAAAGGTGAAAAGGTATTGGTATTGGTGAGCAATAAAGCATACATTGACTTTATAATAAACAAAATATAAAATAATTATATTCATACCATAAACTAACCTATAAAGAATGAAATAATTTTATTGAATTTGAAAAAATAGAAAAATATCAAGAAATTAACATGGACGATCAATACATCATTAAAGGGAGCATTTTGGATTAGGTACTTGAGAAAACATCTTTCATCTATCCCAAAAAACAAACAGTTCTTAAAAAGTCACGATGGCCTTGAAATTCCTTGCAAATATTTCTCAAAAAGGTGAGGAATTACTGAGGAATTAAAGAAAAGCAAGAAATATGGAAAAACTACATGATACAAATTGAGCATTCTAAAAGTATAACCAATTTCAATTTCAAAATCATAGAATTTAAAATTGATGAATGTATGAGGTATTGCAAGAGTTTTAAAAATGAAGTCATTTACGTAAATTGTAAATCGGCACAACGGGGGCAAAACATAGTTCAATATCTGACGTGCTACTTCAACTGGAATTCAAAGTCGAGAGCCGTAGAAAGGTAACAGTTATTGATAATTTAAAATTCAATTCAGGATCTGTTTTATAGAGAACCAAGATAGCGATGGAGACATTGACTTATATTTGGGATTTTGTAATGATGATAAAGGCATATCTCATCAAAGGATAAGTATTGACATATGAGTCAAATTGATGAAATTGCAAGACTCATAAGTAAATGCATTAACAAAAGTTATTTGAGGAATATATCACAACATGTAAAGCACTTGTACTCTGGATCGGAGTCTGTGATGAGATATTCTTATGCAATCATTGGATATTTTTTAATGAATTTAAAACATACATGTAAGAGAAATAATGACAAAGTGGAACATCATTTGGAAAAACCAGGTATATTGTTTTACTTTTAATCATGCTTATTTCACTCTTTTTCTCTGATGTTTGAATAAATTGTCTGATTTCCTTGCATTTGTATACAATTTAGAGTGTACAGTACATGCCTGTTTAATTTATTCCTTGCTAACTCCACTCTTTTTCGCTCTATCTTGCATTTCAAAACATGACCCCATGACCTTTACTCTTGAATGAAACACAGCTTAAGTGAGCACACTCCCTTATAATCAATGAATTTTATGATTTCAGATATAATTGCTGCTCATTTCGTGTTTAAAATGAAAAGATTTTAAAAAATGTTAAAAAACAAATGCATGAGAAAATATCGAATTTCAAGCACTTTATTACCTTGCAAATATTTATAGTAAAACGATTTGACAGTTGACGAGTGTGCGCTGGACAGTCAAATGTTTTAGACTGTAGAAGTATTGAAAATGTACATTGGAATGAAAATTAATTAAATCAACAAGCATGTGGTTAATTCACTTAATTTTTTGAAATAAAAATACACGCTTTCAATTTTGGTGAGAAATGGCCTAATATGAGCATATGCAACCGGACATGTGAACATTTTGTATTTGACTGTTAGAGGGTGAATTTCATATTGATTGTCATGTTTGCTATTACATTGTTGACTTGAAGTGAAAGTTCTTCAACTTAGGGGTTAATTCAAAATACTAGTGCTTCTTTCTCAGGAAACTTTATTAGACACTTGGATGGTCCCTTTCTGATATTCCTTAAAAAAAATTGAAAATTCATTATCTCCTGGCTCAATTTCCATTTTTTCTTCCAGAAAACCTGACTTTACCCCCCCCCCCTCCTCATTATGGAATTAGTTTCATGAAAAAATGACATTTTGATATTTGAGTTGATCCCTTTAAGGACTTTAACAATGGAACTAATCAAAATGTGTAGGAGTTATGTAGGAATTCATAACCCTTCAGAATTTAATATTGAGATATATATGATAAAGCTTGTGCTTGTATATCAACGGACATTATATTTTATTGTTCAATATATTGTGAAAGGGAAAGTAAACAATCATGTTAGTTAAGGCAATCTAAATTCTACAGAAGAAATACCAGAAAATAAGGTAGTTTATTTGAATTCTAGAGAAAAATTGAGTAGAATAAAAGTGAACAGAGACAACAGTTCAAGTTAGGAAAATACACGCCATGATATAACATGCCATGTGCTATGCAAAAAATAGTTTTATGTAATGTATAACAGCCTGAAAATAGTGTTAAAAGATTGATGATTTAGGTATTTTAAAAGTTAATTATTGTAAATGTAAAATGAAAAAAAGGTTTAATTTGCATCCAGGCATGTAAATTGTAAATTAATAGATTTAGTTAATGAATTATTTATAATCTCGGAATTCACAAAATAAAGTTTTGATAAGTTCGCTGAAAGGAAGCATTAAGAAATGCAGTCATAATAGGCAACACTTATTAAGTCCAAAACAATTCAAACAATGTTATGTTATTTTGTAGTTTATATGTTTAATAGGGCTTGTTTCAGATCCCCTCGAAACATGAACAATGTATTGAAAGATTTTAGGCAGAGCTATTTTTATTAGATGTTATTCGGTGATGAACCTCAACATATTATCTATTTCCAAATAGAAGCGAACATTACAACACATGTACTTTTCATAGCTCCAACTATTTTCTCTGCTTAAATTATACATCTGCTCATGCTTATTTCTCTCAATTTCTCTCTTAAATTTGAATGAAGTGACTGGATTTCTGGCATTTCTATACAATTAAGAATGTTTACTATACGCCTGTTTACTTTATTCTTTGCTAATTGCTCTCTTTTTACTCTATTTTGCATTTAAAAACATGACTACAGCAAGCATTTCATTTGATGTAGAATAAAAAATATGTTCTGAATATCAAGATAAACAGAGACTTACTTGTTATCCATAGGAATTTACTTGGATGTTTTAACTTCCTTGGGATAGAAGTTATGTCAATCATGTTTTTATGTGTAAAATAGAGGGTAAAAGAGTGGAATCAGCAAGGAATAAAGTATTTAAGCATGAAGTCAACACTCTAAATTGTATAGAAATGCAAGAAAATCAGACACTTCATTCAAATTTAAGAGAGAAATTGAGAGAAATTAGCATGAGCAGACGGATATTTTCGGCAGAAGTTGCAGCTGTTAAGCATTAATTGGGGAACTATAAATGTTTAAAATCTTGCAAAACATCTTGCTTTGAGATTAGTTTCTGGATATTTGTGGTTCTGAATAGTCAACAATTTATGAAATGAAAGCTGAAATTTCTGTTTTATGATTTACTCCGAAATTGGAGTTTATGACCTCAGAGGGTTTGCCTTGCATTCTCCTAAATCCATAGAACTATTTCCCTCCCATAAACTACCATTTTAGCTATGAATGTTCATATAAAACTTTATCTGCACTTTGGGAATGAAAGTTATTGAATGAGTGGATGAAGGTTTATGATAATAATTATAGATACCTGTAAGTTTCTGTAACACCTATAATCAGAGTATGCATTATGTAATAGTAAGATTGTATGAATCTATGGTTTTGCCTTGCATTACCTAGTAACCTATAACTATTGAGTCCATTCATATATTTAGAATTGCCTGTGCAAAAATGCATATTCTTGAATCAATGCATTATTATGCTCATATATAAAACAACAAATACAAGTTTAAAGTCAATCTTGAGTTTTTGGAAAATACATCCTTGTATTCATGTTTGGAAATACTATTGTTATAGGCTGTTTTGAAACAATACGATGCTGCATCACCGACTCAGATCACCTTGACACCACCTATCGAGTCTCCTCACCCAGAAAAGAGGGCAGCACCACAGTCGTCATACAGACGGACACCATCTGATTCGCTTACTTTAGAACCACCTCCAGAATACAAGAGAAGTTCGTCCCTTCCCACAGCTTCGCTGTTGTACGGGCAAGACCCAGGTATTTATGAACATCTCTTTTGTCATGTCTCTTGTCATTGTCACTCTTGATATCATTTCTCAACGTGGGTGCAGAATTCTCATTTTCAAAATTCAGATCAAAAATGGTCAAATATGTCCATTTTCATGATATTTTTCATTTTCAAGTGTGTGCAAATCGATTTTCAGTTGGGTGCAAGCCTGTTTCAGAATCTCTGGTGGATACTGTGCCCACTTGCTTTAATGTTAGGAAGATCTGTGTTTCTCGTTATATTATCCTAATTTCAAATGCTAATAGATAAATGTTTAATACAGCCTTTCAAGTAATTTGTAAATAACTAAATAAGGAATAGAATAAACTTAAATAAATGTATCAGAAAAAAAGATGGCGTTAAAGTGTGATAAATTCAACACATTCTTTGTCACAGGTTTTAAAACAATATAACAATTAATGAACAAGGGTAAAACACAGCAGCACATTTACATTACACCGTATAATATTACATATGATTAGGTATAATTTTGTCATAACATAATTTTGCATTAAATAATCAATACTATACAGTACAGTAAACCTATAGAGAACACTTTATAAGTTGAACATCATTTTGAGGTTCTTAAGAGACTTTCTACTTACATAGTTTTACTGTACAGGGTGTCCATAAAGTCTATTTTCACAATTACAATACAAAGGTTAAAGTGTAAAGACTTTATGGGTACCCTGTATATCAAAATGCAGACTAAAAGGATCAGGATTAATCAAGAATCACTCATTGCATTCCAGGAACATATAAGCATCTGATAGTGCCCATATATTCAGACTCACCAGCAGACGGCCAAGAGCATTATGGGAAACAAAATGGCCACTCTGGAGATGAAACCCCTGAAGATACAATGAGGTCAAAGCTGTTTGATTTAAGCCCAGTGCTAGAACAATCGCCAAATATGGACGGGAGTTTTACGAGAAGGAGTACATCAAATTTATTAGAAGACAGCACCCGAAAAAAATCGGCATATTCAGATGTTGAACACGATTTTAATAGGGATAGGAGTGAAAGTGATTTTGAAGGAAACGTCAATGGGGTAAGGATTCTTAGAAAATACCCAACTGCACCCCCAGGGCTTCGGCGTTGTCAGAGTTATACAAACACGTCCTCACTACGCTCTAGTAACGACATCTGGTGTCCAACGTCACCACAAAAGTCACTCGAAACAAGTCCACAGTCTGATAGTGAACTATTATCTCCTCCAAAAAAACTCACACCTAAAAGTCCTGGATTTTTACGTAAAGTTTTATTACTTACAAAAGCCACTGGAGCTCTAAGGAAAAAATTCAGCCTTAGTAAAACAGATATTTCAAAAGATATTGACTCAGAGAAAGACCAAAATGGGAAAAATTTACGACCAAAAAGTGTTCCAGCAGGGTACATGCCAGATAGTGATGTGAATTTATCAGATGTTTATGATCCTCAACGAGGGTCACAGTCAGATTTGGCATCCCCACTAAGAGGTGATGGCTTACCCCCTCTCGCGATGTTCAGTAGCGATGAAGACATTATTGACATTTCCGGGACTCCAAAATTACGACGTAATAAAACAGCCCCAGAGATGAATCTATCAGAGCATGTTAATGAAAATTTCAGTCATCTTCCACCAAAAAGTCCTCGGAAAAATTCAAAGGGGAATTTAAATAATTCTGCAGCTTTAAGAAAGCTAAAACAGTCTCGTAAACATTATTCCGCGGATCAAGCAGTGCTTGACCGCATGTCATCAAATAGTGACCTTGACTCTGATAGTCAAGGTCAAATTGAAGGTCATCATTCCAGGACATTTTCTCTATCTGGTTCAAGCTCTGAAGACTTGAGTGTATTATGTGGAGCCTCCCTAAACCCTCACCAACTCAGGCGACCATTACGTCCCACAAGTCCAAAACCTCGTCCTAGATCATCAGACGGAATATCTGATAGTCTCGAACCAAACTCTAATGTTGGAGCAGATTACACGCACCTATCTGGCTTGTCTGTGGATAACCTTAACTTTACACCTGATATCATGCTAAACATTGAAGGCAATCGGGATTTGTTAAATTTAGCCCCTCCGAGGCCATATTCACCTAAGCCTTATACTATGCCTTACAAAATGGATAATTCTAATGAATGTGAATCAACGATGATTCAGGATGAGAATGAGGCTGATAATAATAACGGGAGCCATGATAGCGGGATACAACAAGATGGAGTTGCATCTAGCACTGAGTCTTTGAAGGTGAGTGTCACTATGATCTAAAAATATTGTGTTTTATTTTTTATAAGTATGAAGTACTCTTTAAGATTTCATGTTTTAAAGTATACAATACAGTGCTTTCAGTAGGCTTGTCCAAAAGTGCGTCCCTGGGACGGATTGATTTTCCAAAATTGTGTCCCCCCTCAAAAAAGTGCGTCCGCATGAAAAAAGGTTCCCGGGAATTCAATGTCACATTTTTGCACTGAACGAAAAAAAATTGATGAAACGTTTGCATCAGTTTTGTTATTTTTTGGCCCAGATCAGTGTTCTGCACACGTCTAGTAGGTCATTAAATGATGCAGATACCTTCATTTGAAAGAGGTTACTAATATTCAACCATTAAATACCGTTTTTCTTCGCGTATTTCAAAGCAATTTGCTATTGATTTTGATCGCTCAGAAAGTTTCATTAGGAGCAATCTCCATGAGGTTCAATTCTTTGGTCCAGTTTTTTGCGCATGCGCAACAAATCCAGCAATTTGATTAGTTAAAATTATCAAGACGCATGCGCGATTAATAATCACGGCCAATCATAGGACTCGTACCGATTACCGCTCGGAAATCAACTACTAGTGATTGTCCTATCACATACCTCATACTATATTGATCGGAAATCAACTTCCGGGAAAGAAAGTCCAAAAGATAATTTTATTTCTTTTAGAAATAGAATATCCTTCGTTTATTTAGCGGATTTTGACCAAATAAAAGACTGAAGGTAAGATCTTTATCAATCCATATCCAGAGATGATTTTTTGATATGACCTGCACTGCGTCCAAGTGACCCCTCATTTTCATTGTTTGGGGTCCCTATAATAAAAACCGGGTCCTCTCCATTATGGGACGGCGTTAATGAAAGCACAGCAATACTTTTTGAGAGAAAGAGTGTTTCTAAGTTCAGAGTTAAAACCGACAGAATTGAGCTTCAGTGTTTTAAAGGAAAATAAGAATTGTGCATTTTGCAAAAAGTAAAATTCTGAATAAAAAGTGTTAATTAAAAACCTATAAGGGTACAACTTCCTTGCATTAATTACAACTTCCTTGCATTAACGAGATTCTCTCGTAATTAAAGCTCGTTTAACTCCAGAGTGTTGAAGCTAACGTTGTTCGACGTCCACAAACAGAAATCAAAGAGAGGCCAAAGTCTGATATTGTCTCCGTGAAATGGTCCGATTCAGTGAAAGACCAGATGACATTAAAGCCCAATGAGAGAAAGGGAAAGATTCTACGTCAGAGAGCCAAAACTGATTTAGGTGAGTTGTTTGTGTGTCAATGCGAATGAGATGTCATTATGATTAGGGTGTCATTGGAAATAGGATGTCAATATGATTAGGGTGTCATTGGGAATAGGATGTGATCATGATTATGGTGTCATTGGGAATGGGGTGGGTTAATGATTCAGTCATTAACCCTTTGATTAGTGTCATTGGGAATAGGATGTCATATGATTGTGGTGTCATTGGGAATGGGATGTTATTATGATAAGTGTCATTGGAATGGGAATGGGATGTCATTATGATAAGTGTCATTGGGAAAAGTGTGTTATCATGATAAGGATGTCATTTGGAATAGTATTCATGATTAGGGTGTCATTGGAAATGGGATGTCAATATGATTAGTGTCATTGGGAATAGAGTGTCATCATGATTAGGGTGTCATTGGGAATAGAGTGTCATCATGACTAGTGTGTCATTGGGAATAGTATTTCATCATGATTAGGGTGTCATTAGAAATGGGATGTCAATATGATTAGTGTCATTGCGAATAGGGGGTCATCATGTATGGTGTGTCATTGGGAATAGGATGTCATTATGATTAGTGCCATTGGGAATAGTATTTCATCATGATTAGGGTGTCATTGGAAATGGGGTGGCTTCATGATGAGGGTCTTATTGAGAACAGGGTGTTTCGTAAATATTTTGAATCAAGCCAGCAAAGAATTGTAGACCAGAAACACTTATTGAAATCCCCCTCCCTCCCCATATAATCCTCTTCATTTGAGCATTTAAGTTCATTCAATAATCCACACAGCAGGTGAATATCAACTTTTATTACATGAAGTGAATAATAAGAAAGTAATAAAACATGAACTCTGGTCATGCAGCAGGTGCATTATTTTATAGTAAAATGTATAATAGTAGAGTGAAAAACAGTGAAATTGGCAAGGTATCTAAAAGTGATATTTCGAATAGTTTTACCTCTTGTTTTCATAGTTTCTCTAACTTTTCCTGGATATTGTTCAGCAGTTGGTGTTTGGGGGTCAGTGTCTTTAACAAATCGGGTTCAGCAGTTGGTGTCTGTAACAAATGGCAGGTGGTGATATTTTGCATGTAAATGCAAGTGTTTTTCTTGTCAGATATTGTAAATACATGAAGACCAAATTATTGAATGGGGTGGAAACATAATTATAATTCATATTTCAAGATCATAGATCTTTACTATTTTAACAATTTGATTTTAACTGCAGGAATAAATTGGTACATAAACATTGTTACCTTAAATGCATTCGTTCGACTTGGCTTCTTAAAAGAAAGCTTCGTCTTCACACTTTCAATTTACAAAAAATCTCTGAATAGATTCCTATAATGAGCGTGTGATTTTCTCAGTCTATTTATAATTTGGCTGAACAGTAGTACAATATACTGATATACTTGTATAGTTTTAAGTAAAGATCAAAATATAACAGCTGAATATAATTACAGGGTAGAAAATTTAAGGTGAATTTAACTTATTAAGATAAATTATATTTTTGAATTTTGATATGATTTCAAGAGTAAGTGGACATCGTTAAAATCAGATCAATTATTCTTGTTAGTCCACGTTTTTTAATTCTTTTGAAAACTTGTCAATACATTTGCCCTTAAACCCATTAGTTAAATGTTTTCTGTCAAATTAACTGTTCAAAATTGCTGTGAAATATAAAAAAACTGCTCAATTTTGTGCTTGTTTTGAGGTAATGAAGCTTAAAATGTCATATATCTCGTTTCTTGAAATTTCTGACAAAAGTGATAATAATTCATGACATGAAATTGAAATGTTTAAAATTTGAAATAGCGAAGGTGACGTGAAGTCCTCAAATCCTCTCTGATTTGAAAAAATAAAAGGCATAAAATAGCCTTACACTTTTTGAACTATGATTATGATCTTCAACTGGCATCATTCCACGTTAACTCCTATCCTATCCACTATATTTTAGATTTTTAGCTAATAGTACTTCCCCTGGAGGTCCTTGATATATTTTAGATTTTTAGGCTAATAGTACTTCCCCTGGAGGTCTGGAGATATCTGTTACCACCCCCCCCCCCCCCCCCCCCCCCCTTCGCCATTCCATTATATTCCATCATTATTTTCAAATATCAGATCATCATTGATTGCACCAACAGAAATGTATACAGATATTCAACTCAAGATCAGTAATATTTTGATAAATGTTGGTGAGAGATAACATTGATCATTCCCAGCATGAATTGCTATGTGTCAAATGTAATAAATCCACTTCATATTCTGGGTCATGTTGACCTTTCAATATCATTGCCAAGATGATCTTGCTTTTGTTTGCTTTGTATTCACAAACTAAAGGAGTTTGTAAGGAAGAAAAGAAAATGGGTTGAAATCAACACTTTATTCATCAAGTAAAGCAAAAAAAAGTGACAAACTTTATTGAAAAAATTTGAAGAAAATGCGATAAGAATTAATGTTAGCAGACGTCTCATTCAATGTTCAGTGTTATCTTCCTTGATCTAAAGTGCACATACCTTTCCTCTTAAAAATTTGAATGAAGTGTTTAATTTTCTTGCTTTTCTGTATAATTTAGAGTGTTGACTACATGCCTGTTTACTTTATTCCTTACTAATTCTACTTTAGTCTCAAAAATTTAATGATTTTTCTAATTGATCTTGATTTTCCATTTAATTTATTGTTAACTACATCCATGTTTCTTTTATTCCTTGCTAATTCCACTCATTTCTCTCTAAAATTTGAATGAAGTGTCTGATTTTCTTGCATTTCTATACAATTCAGAGTGTTGACTACATGCCTGTTTACACTATTGTTTTTTCTTTCACTATTCCACTTTTTCTCACATTATTTAATATTTCAAAAGGACACAGTGATCTATGCTACATACGCATTATAAGGCAAATATTTTTTAAGAGTAATATTAGTTCTTTTTATCATGTACAATACAAGTTAAGTGCTTTTTATACACGCATGTAAAAAAGATAAAACTTAAAATATGTTGACATATTGACATATCTAAAACGTACAAAGGTCACATGATTGAATTCAGCCAATCATAGTTCAAATTTTTAATTTTTTCTCAGGTCACATGACTAAGGTGGTCCAATAAGAAGATCTCATATACGGTGGTCTTGAAAAAACAACTTATGAAAAATGTATTTGCCCTCTCATAAATTATAAGTTTTATATTTACACACTCGGCTCAAACGAAACACATGAAATATCAAAATAATATTGGCATAGTATAGTATTCTCTGTCTCCCATTAAACTTTATTGAATTCAAAAATGAGCAATAAAATACAAAACAAATTCTACAAAGCTCGACTAATTTTTGTGAGAGTTTTAATTTTCTTGATTATTGCAGGCTCTATTGACATATCGCAATAGGTTTTCACCAACAACAGCAGTGACTCAGAATTCAATGTTGAAATACATTCTCGAACTAGGAAGTTGACAAATAAACACAGTACACAGTTTCAAATAGAAATTATATGTAATATTTATTTAATTCAAATCGGCAGGAGAATTACTGAATTACTAGAATTGTTTAAATTTGTATTAACAGAATATTATCAAAGAAATTTGGACATGGATTTAGCTGTGTGAAGGAATACTCAGTTGGCATATCAGGAATCCTTCTTATAGAATCTCTTAGATATAAAAGATTTGAATTAATAATTGGATATTATAAATCAGTAAAATGATATTGAATCGGAGTACAGAGACTTCGTCACTCAAGAATTTGGAGATACAGAGATTTTTAATGGACCTACATTTCTGTGGATGTATGTATTGTTTTATATTGGGGGGGGGGGCATGTTTAGAATTGTTAAATAGAGTGGAAAAGAGGGGAATTAGCAAGGAATGACCTAAATAGGCATTTAGGGAATACTCTGAATTGTGCATAAATGCAAGAAAATCAGACACTTCATTCTAATTTTAGAGAGAAATGAGTGGAATTAGCAAGGAATAAAGTAAACAAGCATTTAATTAATACTCTAAAATATATAGAAATGCAAGAAAATCAGACATTTCAATCAAATTTTAGAGAGAAATTGAGTGAAAAAAGCAAGGAATAAAGTAAACAGGCATTTAGTCAACACTAATAAATTGACAGAAAATCAGACATTTCATCCTTTTAGAGAGAGAAATGAGTGGAATTAACAAGGAATAAAGTAATCAGACATGAAGTTATTCTCTAAATTATATAAAAATGCAAGAAAAACAGACACTTCATTCAAATTTTAGAGAAATTGAGTGAAATAAGCAAGGAAAAAAGTGAACAGGCATGTAGTCAACACTCTAAAATGTATAGAAATGCAAGAAACCTAGACACTTCATTCAAATTTTAGAGAAATTGAGTGAAATAAGCATGAACGGATACAGTATCTCACAGCTCAATCAATGTCATGGTTCTAATACAGGTTATTCGCATGAATGGTTGAAAATGAAAAATTTGCAAAAAAACTGATTGAAAGTTCTCTCACCGAGCTAATACAAAAAATATAAAAAGACTGACTGTCAGATATATCAAAAAGATATGTCACTTTGCATGTATGCTGAAAAATTAAATTATTATCATAATTTGCTGATATCAACTTTAAAATAAAAATTGAACAAGTTGTGGATGTGAATTTTCTAAGAAATTATAAACAGTGATCTTTATTCGTGTCTTTTCACAAATATTCATTTTTACAAGGAAGTAATCGTGCAAATGTCACTCTGCCTTTTCACTTTTTGGTGGAAAATTTCCATTTAATGTTACTTTGAATAGTGGGTTATAAATGTTAAGCATGCATATTACTATCAGTACCTTCATTAGCAGGAGATTGGGGAAGCTTTTATGAGTTGTTTTCACCTAATGATATTTTTGCCTCAAGGATTTTGTTGATGTTGAGGAGTTTTAGCTTTTACTATATCAGATCTGCTCTGACATGTTATCAACACCCCCCCCCCCCCCACCTCAACTATTCCCACCTCCTTTTTATTATCTTAAGATTTTAGGCACCTACTATTATTGAGTATTACCAACATCCCCCCACCCCAACATATGTCAGGGCTCTCGCCAGGCTTATACTGTGGCGCAGCACCGCACTCTATTTAGGTCCCTCCACACCCTATTGGCAAATCATGACCGTTTCCAAAGTCTAAACTTGACTGAATATTGTATACAATAATAGCATGTAAAAAGGATAAAACATAACATAAATATGATTTATCCAGTTGAACGGTTATTCTGAAGATGTTAGCACCACACCCTAAATATTTCCTGGTGAGAGCCCTGTAAGTTGAGGGAGAGAAGCACATAATGTAAGATCAACTTCAGTAATTATATATTACATGATTCCAGGTGGACCAGAGGTGATATCAAAGGCACTCGCACAATATGAACAGGTGAACTCGGCCACGTCTCAGGATTTTGACAACCTAGAACCTCTCCCAGATTTCAAGCGGAAAACGAAGTCAACGAAGAAAGAGAACAGAAGAGTAAGTGTTGTAACATTTTCTACATCGTAACATCAATTCAGTTCTATTGTTATGTCCTGGTTATGCATCCTCCTAAGCAGGTATCCAGAATCCGTACCTCCTTCTTTCCCCCTGCTATAACCAATTTGGAAGCACCCGATTAAACTGAATCACGTGATCTAATTATGTGCAATGACTTATACATGATTTCTGTCGCAGTCAATCAGATTGTGAGTTCTTAATCGGGGAAATGCTAACTGCTTATCACAGGGGGTAAAAAGAATATATTCTGGATTTTGAAGCCCTGTGATCGTAGGATGTGGTTATGTAACCACCAAGAAGATGCAGTGTTCTACACAGGATTTTTTCTCAAGTGGGTGTAAAATTCTCATTTTCACAATTAGACCAAAACTGATCCAAAATGCCTGTTTTTCATGATTTTCCTTATCTTCAAATGGTAGCAAATGGATTTTCAGGTAGGTGCAAGCCAGTTTTCAAAATCTCAGGTGTGTGCTGTGCCTACTTGCTTTGATGCTTGGGAGATCACTAAAATGTGACATGTTGTTACTGTTACCATTTTTGTAACTAGCTGTTACACTTTTGTAATTGCAATCATGTGGTGGCATTTTTTCAGATCAAGTAGGCAGAGCACCCACCTGATATTTTGAAAAAGGCTTGCACCCACCTGAAAATCCATTTGCATCCACTTGAAGATGAGGAAAATCGTGAAAAATGTGCATTTTGGATCAGTTTTGGTCTCAATTGTGAAAATGAGAATTTTACACCCACTTGAGAAAAAATCCTGTGTAGAACACTGCATCTTCTTGGTGGTTACATATTGTTCTTCTGAATAAGATTCACATAAGATTAATAAAATATAAACTATGGGTTCTCATTAGGACCCTAAAAATGTACCATTCTTTCGTGAGTTTCCTGGAAACCCAGATTGGCATATATCTGTGACAGAATTTTGAACTAAAAATGTTCTAATTTGACAATTTCATCTAATGCACACAAATGGTGTTTTAAAATGTGAAATGGATTCATGTTTCCTTATTGTATGAAATTAAAGTCACATTATACATATTTAAAGAGTAAAATGGTATATTGTCTGTGTACATTATCATAATTTTCTCTTTGCAAATACTTATTCACCTGAACTTTGGACTTGTGGGAGAAAATTGGAGACAATTAGTTGAAAATTGGATGTCAAATTCTGCCAAATTGTGGGCTAGATTAAAACTTCCATTCATGAAAAGCCTTTATTTGAGTATACACTTTTCTGCAATAAACACTTTTTAGTAAACACATTTCTGCTGTAAACACCATATTTGAGTAAACATTTCTTTGTGTATCAGTAAAGCCGCAATTTTCAAAATCATCTAAATTGCCAAGGTGCTTTCAAATCTCAACCAGGAGCTTGGTGATTTTAAATGCTCAATGTGGTATCAGTTTGACAGGGAAATCTGATATATACTTTCATTAACAAAATGATATGTAATGTTGTATCTTTGCTTTAGATTTAATGAAAGAAACTCAAATTTAATGTCAAGCTGTCGAGGTTTTTATAAGAGACAATATTAAATTTTTATTTTTGATCTCATTGGTTTTATATTATTTGTGATTATTTCAATGAAGATGGCCATATCCAGCTGTGTTGAGAATCTGAATAAACAAACATTTCATTGTTTTCTTTTAATATGGAGAAGGATCGTATGAAGTTTTGATCTCAACTTAATGATATTGAGATCCTTTCAATGTCAAGGTGGGAGTTAGTTAGAATTTCAATTTTTATGTTCAGTAGAACTTGTCTATTCCGAACACCAATCAGACAGACTAAAAGTGTTCCACTTGGTGGGTGTTCTCATTTTAAGTATTTTTTAACATAGAAATCTATGACAAAGAATGAGACAGAAAAAATGTTCATAGAATTTCAATTTTTATGTTCAGTAAAACATGTCATTGCGAACATCAATCAGACAGACTAAAAGTGTTCAAATTGGTAGGTGTTCTCATTTTAAGTATTTTTTAACATGGAAGTCTATGAGAGATCAAAGAATGAGACAGAAAAAGTGTTCATATAGAAAGGTGTTCAGATTGTTTATGTTTATTTCTTTCTTTCAAATACACACAAAAATATAATTCATGAAATGGATGACACTTAATAAAGTGTATATTCCCAAAATTGAACGACAATAAGGAGATGTTTTGATATACAGGTTTATCTGTATGGTATGTGAAGAAAATAAATTAACATACATTTCATGTAAGCAATATTATATTCAATAGAAAATCATTTTTATGTCACCACCAAGAAATGGTGACATATTGTTTCAGTCTCCAACTTTCTTGTGGACTTTGTTTGGCAACTGTAACATGGCGTTTGTCTGTAACAAATTACGGTGTTTGTAACAAATGGCAGGTAGTTACATTTTGCATGTTAATACCTTGTTTGTTATTACCTGTTTTCAATGTTCTATAGTACAAAATATAAGGGGACTATAGGTCTTTTTAATCATTTAATAGGAAGGATGAGAGAGATATGTTTAGATATAAGATTCCATATCCTAAATACACAGAAATTATACCTGTTGTATTACTGTTCTAGAGGGATGGTCTATTCTGATATTAATGATCTAATTTGTTTATTCTTGGAAGTTTGGTGATGCTATTTGAACACATTAAGAAATATAGGATTAGGCAAAGAATATAAAATATAGAATTTATTCGCATGCAGTATTTCCCTTTCATGACAATATTGGTCACTATGGAAACCATGAGTATTTTAATAAATATTGTTAAACAAAGTAATTATAGCATTTTTGGCAAAATATCTAGATCAGGGGCCTTCATTTATCAATAAATAGGATTCTAAGTAAATCCAAGTTTTAATAAAATCCAGTTTCACTTAATACAATATATTTTTGTATTTTGACATTTTTTCCTCTTAGACACTCAACTTTTATGGTTTATTGTTCAACTCTAGACTCTTCTCAAAATATTAATTGCCTTATTTCACTCAATTTCTCTCTTTAATTTGAATGAATTAAGCGTTTATGGCAATTCTTTATACTTTAAAGACTTCACATCATGTTCATTAATCTTATTCCTTGCTAATTCAACTCCTTTTTCAGATATTTCCTATTTTTCATGACCAATGAAATCTTTCACACTGGCAGCAACTTTTAAATGTCAAGTGTTAGGGTGACTTGGTAATATATGAATTTATTGATAGAAGGAAAGAAGTCTGAATGTTATTGCCAAATTTCCTTGTTCACAATTTCTGAGCATAAAATATCCGTCTGCTCATGCTTATTTCACTCAATTTCTCTCTAAAATTTGAATGAAGTGTCTGATTTTCTTGCATTTCTGTATAATATCGAGTGTTAATTACGTCCCTGTTTACTTTATTCCTTGCAAATTCCACTCTTTCTCACCCAATTTCATTTTTTAAAGATAAACCCCTAATTGAATGTTTCATGTGTCGGCAGATAGCATTTTACCAATGAGATTCGTTTATTTAAATTACCAGGAAGTCTGATGTTATTGTTGAAATATTGGCTTGCTAAACTGTGCATACTCCAAACCTGAAAAAAAAGAAATGTACATGTATCAATTTTAACTCAAATGAATAATGAAGAAATTTTGGACAACTTATTATCAATCGAGGTGACACGTGCTCTTCTTAAATATGTTAATGTATGGAAAAGTCTAAAAATGCCTGAAACTCAGGTAAATTTGACGGTGAAATAGGCATGTTATAATTTGGAAATCAAAAAAGTTCTTTGGTTTGCAATATTTTTTACATCCTCCTTATGCTGGATTCCAGGCATGTTATCTACGTTCCTTCTTTCTTTTGTAAGAACGGTTTTACGAGTTCTGGAGGCTTGTGTTTCGAGGATGTATTTTTTACATTTTGATGTAAAACCTGTGTATGTTGAACATTTTTTTTGCTAAGAGAGGATAATTTATGCAGAAGTCAGTAGAGTAAGTGTGGAGGAAGGGTGTTCACTAGAGATAGGTGTTCACTAGAGGAAGATGTTCGCTAAGACAGGTCTTACTGTATTGACATTATGCCATTTGACATATTGACCTGTGAACACTGAACACCTGCCAATCTGAACACTTGCGACCAGTCAAAGTAGCATTCAGATAGGCAGATTTACCTAAACCTCTTGACTACCTGGAGTGACGAGATATCTCTGTCACAAAATTTTTACTAAAATTGCTCTTATTTGAACAGTTTTCATCCAATTTAAACAAAACTTGTTTTAGAATTTGTAGAAATGATCTCCGCCGTCTGATTTTACTAAGTTGAGCATCTAAAGTTGTATATGAATGTAGTTAAATATCAAAAGGTAGCAAAAATGAAAAATTCTCTGGTTTCAACCGATTTTAGAGACTGGGATTCAAGAAGTTAATTGAAAAACAAACTTCAATTGTTCAAGACTGATTTCAATATTATGTAATATCTTTTCCAGCTCTCAACACCTCATCCCATTAAAGTCAGACAAGAAAGGACCCCTCCTACTAAACGCCATAATTTCAAGAGGCCCCTTGCACTAAAACGATGTAACAGTGCGCCTGATATCAGGACGAAGCCAACTTTTAATAAAGGTAAGTTCGCCATTTAAAATGTAATTTTCATTACAAAATACAGCATACCTCGAGACTTCTCTTGGAAATTGTTCACCATTTTCAAAATTCGCAATTTTCCCACACTTAGCAACTCTTAATCTCTGATCAATTTTCTTATAGTCTGTTTCAACCAATGAATTGAATTATCAATGATTTTATTAAGGTATTATCACTGATGAACAATCAATCATGGCTTTAAATGCGTCACAGTTAACTTGCTTCAATGAACATGTTATTTTGTTGCTAAGTAACCACGTTGACAGATGTCCCCCTGGGAGTATTCACTCTATCGGAGATCAATAATCGGAAGTTCTAATATGAATTAAACACATTTTGATGATGTAATGGTTCACCCCTTCTCAAGATTTATGCTTCACTGAATTTCATAATAACTCGTATGTTTGAATGTCTATCCATGTGTTGAGTGAAACATTTATACAAAAACATGGATACGGGTCATTAGATGAACTTGGAAGTCATAATTGATCCACTGAGGTAGTAACAGTGAAGAGTTTAGGGATGTTGAACTGTTTTAAACTTAGTAACTATTTTATTGGTTATGTCCCCTCCTGAATGTCCCGTCCCGAAATGGATAATTCCCGTCCCGTCCCGAAATATTTTTATCCCGTGACATCCTTAGAAGAGTTTATAAGAAATGTGCCATATAAGAATGAAGCTAACATTCTTGAATTGAACTGCTGTGGGCTGATAATTTTACCACCATATCATGGCAAACTCATTTATGCCCGACTCGCATTTGCTACGATTCATAGGCCGGTGCCCCGCCAATTGAGTATTTTGTTCAGAATTATATTCAGTTTTGAACAAAATACTCAGTCGGACGGGACCGGCCGATGAATCGGAGCAAATGTGACCCAAGCAGTGACCCAAGCATAAGATATGAATATGATTGGAGCAGGTACTATCCATATTTCAATGAGTTGGCCATAAAATATCAGTCAAATTACAACTGACAGCTGGCAGCTTAACTGGAATGCTAACTAAGGAATATGAATTTGATTTTAGACAAGAAAGTTGAATTATGAGGCATTTGTACATCTGTTTATTAACATCTGCAACATCTGTGTATGATGGAAGAATCCAGGTTATCATTATCATATTATCATATATATTCCAGGGAACATGTGCAAAGATGACGTTGATGTTGACGCCACTGTGACATCACAAGTGGCTTATAACAGCGACAACCCTGATGTTTTTGATTCGGAAGATGAAACTAAAAGTTCATCATCTAATACAGTGCCGCAATCTGTTGATCAGGTAAATTTTGTCCAGTTCTGTGTCACAACTAAGAAGCTGTGACATTGTTACACTCAGGGTTTTTGTGAATGGCATTGGCATTAGCATCTGTAACAAAGGGTCACAATGCTTTTGTGTGACCAGGTTGTGACATTTTGTTTTAATGCAATGTTTTAATAAGAAGCCACTCTAACACAAACAACATGGTTTTACATTGTAGAAATTTGATGTGGATACTCTTAACTATGCTGAGGCATTATGGGACCATGTTACCATGGATACAGAGGAATTGTGTTTCCGTGCTGGTGATGTCATCACAGTGACGGACATGTCTGACAAGGACTGGTGGTGGGGTGGAATAGAAGACCGCGAGGGGTGGTTCCCGGCAGCATTTGTTAGGGTAAAAAATAAAACACATCATGATTTTCAAATTTTAAATGCAAAACATTAGAAATATCAAAATTAAAAGTTATTGCGTATGAAAAGTAGGCTTAAAAAAGCGTAGTTTTTGAGAAAAGTAAGTTAACGTTATTCATTCAAGGAATAGTACAAGTAATTTCATCCTAAACAAAATAAAAAAGAATTCGTAACAAAATCTCATTGAATTGAAACTTTTTTAATGTTTTGATAATGGATGCATGTTCAAGGGTTTCATGAAAAAAGTAACATTGTAACAGTCACAAAATTTCTCAAAATAACTGGCAATTTTGGTAAAAAGAATCACACAAAATTGCCCTTTGCTAGTAAAAATTCCTGTAAATTATACTGTTACATGTACAAAAAATATCTCCATGAAAGTATTTTACATTCAATTTACAGATACGCGTGAATCAGGAAGACACGACTGAAGACATCGTCCAGAAAGTCAGAGATGGCGTTATAGACCAGAAAACTGCGATGCGACGCTACAGCGTTAGTTTCCTCAGTAAGGATCAAGCACGAGCCAATGTTGTCAATGAAATTATCAATGCCGAGAGGGAATATGTCAAACACCTTCGGGATGTCGTTGAGGTAATTTTTATTTAGTTTCCACCTTGATTATTTTTCTCTGATCATGTGTTGTTTTTACAATTATTTTCGACAATCATTTTGTGAATTTTTCAATTTTGAGTCAGTTAGTGGAAAGTTACTGGAGATTTTTTTGATTTTTGGTTTACATTTCACAAAAATATTTGTACTTTTAGGGATACATTCGTCCATCTAAGAATAGAGCAGATATGTTTTCCGAGGAGATCATCAATACCATATATGGAAATACGGAGGAGATTTACGCATTTGCGACAGAGTTTCTGGAAGATTTGGATGCTTGCATAGACCCCTCGTACCCACATCTCAGCCAGATTGGCCAAGTCTTCCTAAAACATGTAAGGACCCCTAAGAAGTACAATTTATCAATTTAAATCCTCTCATTTTGATATATCTATTATCTAATCTACCTGTCAGTGAATATATCTTAAAAATAAGAGCAAGAATTATCTCTAAATGAAAGAAATTCAAAGTTAAATCAAGGAAATACATGATGTCAACATTGGTATTATTGATTACCCTGTATTCCCATTAATTAGTCTCATGACACTCTGATTATAACAAACAGTTTTACAGATTTTATGCTTATGAAATCATTATGATCTCACATGTAGAATTTGTGTCCCATAATTCAATAGTTTTATGTGGCTTCGTACTCTGATTGGTTAAAACTGAATCAAAGAATCATCCCTAATTTTGAGAGTACATAGAATATTGCCATCTTTAAAAGGGTAGTTTTGTTTCATACTAAACATTACATATTGCAGAGACATGGTTTTGAGATTTACTCCCACTATTGCAACAACCACCCACAGGGCTGTGAACAACTCAAAAACCTTCGCAAAAATGAAAAATATCAGCAATTCTTTGAGGCGTGTCGTCTTCTCCAGCAGATGATTCAGATTCCACTTGAGGGCTTTATGTTGACCCCTGTACAAAAGATCTGTAAATATCCTCTACAGCTTCAAGAGTTGTTGAAATATACACGTGCTGAACATAGGGACTATAAAAAGGTAAATGACTATGGTATTACATTGTGTTTGACTGACATTAAATTGTATGAATATATACCTGACTAATCTGAACACTTCTTAGTTAAAATGCTTTTTAAATTTAATTTATATTAATATACTTCCATGTTAAAAACTTAAAATGTAAACACCTGCCTATTCTGAACACTTTTGGCCTGTCCCAGTGTTGTCCAGATCAGACAGGTTTTAATGAGTATGGCATTTTATTTCATTTGAGTATGACTACACGGCTATTTACTTAATTCCTTCCTGATTTCACTCTATTCCACTCTATTTTGTATTATGAAACAAAATAATTATCTTCTCGATTATATTTTTCAATTTATATTTCTATATATCCAGGTAAAAGAAGCTCACACTGCTATGAAAGACATCGCAGTTCTAATTAACGAGAGGAAACGGAAGATTGAGAGCATAGAAAAATTGGCCATCTGGCAACAAACTGTCGAGGATTGGGATGTAAGTCATTTAAAACTAATGTGAGAGATGCTCATCTGCGGCAATTTTTTAGTCCTTCGATGAATCATATGTGAAACACCAGAGCTTCAATGTGCAACTGGTATCATTTTAGAATTTTTAATGTTCTGTGTGAAAATTCTATTTACAATTGCGTTCCATGAGAAATTTATCCGGATCTCAAATATCTTAGAAAATGTGGCAAAAATCATTACAAAAAATAAAATATAATGTTTTACAAATTTTCAGAATTTGATCATGTGATTTATGACATTATGTACATTTACAGGGTCCTGGCATACTAGAGACAAGCTGTGAACTGATCTACACAGGAGAACTTCACAAAGTCAACTCTAGTGGATGGTCTCAAGAGAGAATGTTCTTCCTTTTTGATCACACACTTATTTACACTAAAAAGGTAGGACCCATACCTTTTCCAATAGTTTGATCAAGCCTAAATGAAATCAGAACCCCCTTGACCTATCATCAAACAGACTACACTTCGGACCTCTAGAATCTTGCCCGTAGCCAGCTTTTACCAGGAGGGGGAGCTTTTTTCCAGGGGGGAGCTTTTTCACAATTTTGGCTAAAAAGCATGCGAAAAATTCTCAGAATAATGAAAAACTGCATGATTTTGAAAGAATATCTGGCCAGGGGGGAGCTTCTGCCCCCCCCCCCCCCAGCTCCCCCTCTGGCTACGGGCCTGAGAATGATATATTTTTGATACTGTACTATTTGTCATACTAAGGCACACAACTTTCTGTAGGAATCCAAGTGATCTCCCGAGATTAAAGCAAGTGAGCGCAGCACCATCCTGAGATTTTGAAAATAGGCTTGCACCCACCTGAAAATCCATTTGCACCCACTTAAAAATAAGAAAAATAATTAAAAATTGGCATATTTTGACCAAGTTTGGTTTGAATTATTCTGTTTAGAACACTGGATCCATATTTGGTTAAAATGTTACATGTGATTCCTAGAAAACTATTGTCTCTTGTTAGATGAACAACATCATTTGCGACTAAATCATGAAATCATTTTCAACAATGGACTCCTGTATCTCAACAAATTCTAAACAAATAGAGAAATAAATCTCAAACTTCCTACATTTGGATCTGTTAATCTGTGAATTATTGACTTTAGTAAAGAAAATTGCAAACATTTGATCTTGTTATTGATGTATTTTAAATATGCACTGATATATATTTCAGGATGTGATTTGGCGCAATGGGCTGTCTTACAAGGGGCGTATTGATATGGACTCGTGTGAAATAGTTCCCATAGATGATGGAAAAGGTAAAAACTTTGAAAATAAATTCTTATTTCTTTTCAATACATTTCACAACTTTTTCTATATAACCTGATTTTGCAATGTTTCCCACAAAATGATGAAATCTGATGAGTGTAATAAACTCGGTAACTACAATTTTCGTCATATATTTATATATTAACGACTCTTTGTAGTGGACAAATGGAAAATATTGAGTCTAGCTAATTTACTCTCTTTAATAAGAAATTATTTAAAACAAAAAACTTGTAAAAATAGATTTAAAATATTACTATAGATCATTTTTCCATTTTAATTTTACAACATTTACAGGAATAGAATCTCTCAAAAGAACTCTTCCATAAATCATGCTTCTATTTGTAGATTCGCAGTTCAACACTTCCGTGAAACACGGCTGGAAGATACATGACAAACAGAAAGACAAATGGTACCTTATTTACGGAAAATCAGCCGAAGAGAAAACAAGATGGCTGCGAGCATTCCACGATGAGAGAAACCGCGTTAAAAATGAAGGAGAACGGGAAAATGGTAAGTCTGGTCTGTAGCGTCAAATGGTTTAATTGGTTAATTTGATGAAATATCAATGGAGTTCTCTAAAAATTTATGTACCAAGAAAGCTCCTTCATATGTAAAAGGTAATATAATATGGACATTCAATATGGTCATTCAATATGACCTTTCAATGTGAACCTTCAATTATGGCCTTCTAATGACGATCCTCAATTATGGTCCTTTGGACATACATGTACAGTAAAACTGGTGTCAGTTGAGCTCAGGTTCTTGGAGCAACTGGTCTAAATGGCATTACGGACCAGTTGCCATGTTAATTTCATATATGAACTGCAAAAATCAACTGGTCCGTATCAAAAGTGACCTGACAAATGACCAGTGGACCAGCCCTTAGCTCAAGCCCTGACTGGTGTAAGTCGAATACCTTTGGTACTTTAAAATTGTTCCACTTGGAGTTGTTCCACTTGAAGGTGTTTCCCTTAACAGCTTTTCCTGCATTTAGAAAAGCATGAATTTTATACAATATGCATAGTCATATACCTTTTTATTATGAATGAGCATTTTTTTGTTTTAAGCGCTGCTGAGGGCTGAAAAGGACAAGATTCTCCTCAATATGTCAAAGTCCAAGTCTGCATCAGGTCAAGACAGACCTAAAGGTTAGTTTAGTATGTTCAATATTTTATTCTGACTGTAATATTGATTGGAAGCCAGAGGCTCAAACAGGCTAACCATAAAGCTAATTGTAAACATAGATTTTATAGATGTATGAGAATAGCAAGTAGAAAATGTTGCTTTATGTCACAATTGTTACACTTTCTTTACTATTTCTATTCTATTTTACTATTAAATTCAAATTGCTTCTGGTTTATAAGCAAAACATGATTGTTGAAAAGCTAATTAGCCATGAAATGTATACACCCCGTGGGGTGTCTTTTTCATGTATTGTATGAAACATTGTATGATTGATTTTTAATTTAATAAATTGAATTGAATTGAATTTCCAGGTAAAGCTTCCATCGAGACATCTTACTCAGAACAGCAATCCCTTATAAGGAATTTTCCATCACACGCAACATTGCCAAGAGGAGTATATCGAGAAGAACTTGTTTCCGGGGATGGATCAAAAAAGAAGTGGTTCGGCTCATGGAATAAGAAAAATCGAAATGCAAAACGATGATAATAAAATCAAGAATATAATTAATATTAAAATTACATTGATTACCCCAGTGTAATGTTGTGATAATTGATGTGATTGGCTTATTAAAAATTCGATCCCGACACCTGCATCCAATCTTTAAAGATAAATGCAAGGAATTACTTTATGACGAGGGATCTTCAAGGAGGTGACTATGTTCCTGGAGTAAGAAAACAGTGAAATAAAGAAACTGTGATTTGAACTTTGAACTGAGAATTTGTGTAATTTCATGAGGCAAAATGAAATGAAAATATAGAAGTCAAATGGAAATGCATAATAAGGAACAGAATTCATAAAATGGATTAGAAATTATTAAAATGGAATGAAAATGCCTAAAATGGAATGGAAATGCATAAAACGGAATGGAAGGAAAATGCCTAAAATGGAATAGAAGTGCATAAAATTGAATGGAAATGCCTAAATTTAAAACACTTGTTACATTACGGCATTGATACCACAGTGAATATGGAAAGTGAATATGCAAAACATGATGAAATGGAATTCCTAATTGGTGAAATAATCCATTTGATGTGACTATGAAGTGAAAAATGATGATTTCCATATGGAGTGCCTGAAAGATGGATTATTTATCTCCAAACTATGCAGTATTTAATAGAATAATATGCTTATAGTTGATGTACAGTTCAATAGCTTCTAGATCTGTTTAATTAAATTACAAGAGAGTGAAACCTGTCTATTGGAATGCCTAAACGATTTGAATATATTTAAATCTTGTTCCTGTGGAACACTATTTCAGGTACCAAAGGTGTTCAACTTAAACACAAGCTTTCCCGCATACTGTCAATAGATGGCGAAGGTATCAGCCAAAAATGTCATTAATCATACTTTGTCTTCAAACTTTAACTTGACATGAATCTTACCTAATGTTCCTCAGCCTTTGAATCTTGAAACATTTAGTAAGACAGTGAAACCTGTCTATTGGAACACCTAAACGATTTGAATATATTTAAATCTTGTTCCTGTGGAACACTATTTCAGGTACCAAAGGTGTCCAAATTAAGCACAAGCTTTCCTGCACGTATATTGTCCATAGATGGCGAAGATATCAGCCAAAAATTTCATTAATAATACTTTGTCTTCGAACTTTAAATTGACATGAATCCTACCTAATGTTCCCCAGCCTTTGGATCTTAAAACATTTAGTACCAATAGGTGGTACTAAATTATCATTGGTTTACCAGCAATGGCCATTTTGAGTATAAATTTCCAATTGTGGAACTTATGTCAATTTGACGCGTCAATTTGTAGATATAGAATTCTTGGGTTGAGCTGATTATGCCAAAAAATTGTGTCAAATATATAAGGTGCAAAATTTTATGTTATTTATTTATTCAAGATGTTTGTGTACACTGTAAAAACAACAAAAGTGATTAAACATCACTCAAAATAAACTACATTGTGTAAACAGAGTCTTTTAACAGATCTGTTTAACAGATTTTCTCTTTGACAGATATTCTCTGGCATCGCAAAGGTATAGAATCTTCCGTGGCTACCAGGCATGTAGTCAACACTTTAAATCAGTTTAAAAATGCTATGAAATTGGATGTTTCATGTAAATTATATAGAAAGCGATATATAATCCTGGTCAAAATATGTCATTACACCCCCTTCATTAGTCTGGCATCCTGGATGTTCCATTTAAATTATACAGAAAGCGATGTATAATCCTGGTCAAAATATGTTATTACACCCCCTCCATTAGTTTGGACAATGCAAATTAAAAAAAGGTGATCAAATTTGCCGTAAATTTCTATATTATTATAATAAGGAACAAAATTAAGATTCCAACATTAGTAGGATTTAATATGTTATTCAATGAATACTTTCAGTGCCAAACTTATGGAGGGAGTGTATATGTAATGCACAATATAGGAAAACATACTTGCAACAAATATATATAAATTGTATCACTTTAAAGGGAGGTATTTATGTGTACAACATGTATAAATATTGTTGACAAATTCTGTATATATAGCTAAGCTTCTACTGTCGCAGTGTAGAAATAAAGATATACAATATTTTCTTCATAATTTATCCAATTCTCTGTGTTTAGTTTGTTATTGGGATAATGGCAGATAATAGGAAGGGGGTGGCCTGGTGGATCGCTTGACATTTGATTCCCATATTCCGAGAATACATATTAGAATTTGAAGATTAGACTTTGAAAGATAATGAACAGATATTGCCTTCTCTTCGTTGATACTTGGGCATTATGTTATCTCTTATATAACATTTTACAACATGCCACGATAAGAAAGTAAATAAAGCCAAATCTGTATAATCTGACACCTAGGTCCCATCATGATAAACCATGGCATCTCATTTCTTCTCATCCCTGAGATGCCATGATATAATGAGCTTGATTTGGCGATCCAGGAGAGCCCAAAATTGAGGATTTTTGAGATCTTTCATCCCAGCTCATATTTCATTTAATTGGGGTCATTAAACTTGTGTACACGTGCCTGTGCTCATATCTGCTGTTAAATACAATGCCTATTATGTAATGTATTGCCATTAGGTAAATGATTACATTATAACTATCACACTTATTGACAGTTATAACTTTTCCCATCTGATTTGCTCAGATCACAGAATATGCCTCATAATATCAGAGCATGTTTCAGGTGAAACAGAAAGATGCTATGAGTATCAAAATGCCTAGGTCCTTATCCCGTGACAGGACTCTATAGTCCTTGGCACGGGATAACTATGTCCCATTTTTCTAACATTGAATTCCATGTTGAATTGCCAGATTAAAGGATGGGTCGGGGAATAGGTCCGGATATCGACTTAGAAAAAGGAGTGCTATCGATATGGAGAACTGAATTCAACAATGTTTTTCTCTTAAACCAATCATTGAAAACATGTAAAAAAACACGGTATTTTATGTAATGTTGACTGATTGACAACAATTTCATGCAAAAAATATTTCGAAATATTTTATATAACTGTTTTTGTTAACATTTTTTGTTTTTTTTAGTGCAATTGATTTTGCTCCTTTATACCAATTCTTGATAATGAAATAAAATGTATTTCCGAATCTTGTTGGTACAAAATAGCACATACAACATGTTTTTAGACCTCTCAATATTATAGTTATACAAATAAATTTTTGGTTGATTTTAAAAAAGTATTGAAAAAAATGAAACAAAATCCCTAATTAGATAAAAATCAAGATAAACCTTTTATTTCATTAACAAGATACTTTTTTAAAATCAACCAAAATTTCCTTTGTACAATTACAATATTGAGAGACCTAAACATGTTGTGTTTATGTCGTTTTGTTCCAATGAGGTTCGGAAAGATGTTTCATTTCACTCTGGAAACATGATACCAAGAACAAAACAAGTGTTTGATTTGTTTTCTAAAACAATATAGATGAAAGTATATAATATATTTTTCAAATTATATAGTTACCATTCAAAAGATTACCATTATATTGACAATGTATAAATTTTTTAGAATTTTTATGACTGGTTTAAGAGAAACGTGTGTTCAAAAAGTTCTCCATATCGATACCACTCCTTTCAAAATTGTAATGTCTGAAAAGCCAACCCAATCACACATATTATCAAACCTTGATATCCCATCCTTCTTCTAAGAGTCAACGGATATCAATTTGTAATACAATTAATGAAGAATAGTGCAACTACATTGCATATCTCTGTGCCAGAATCAAAACATTCAAGAGCAAATACTAAATGAGTAATTTATCAAAAAAGTTTGAAACATATCCTCCAAAACATTGCTTACTTTCATTGTAAAGATGACATTGAATGGTATTTCTTGATGAGTGACTTATGTTTATCTGGGTAATCAAGGGATTATAGTTACTCAAAGTTACTGAGCATCCAATTTTGACACTTCAGTTGTGTTGATGAAATTGTAAATATTTCTGCAAAATTCATCCTGAGCACAGCTTTTTGGTTTCAATTTTATAATCTCTATTCATGACCCTGATGCTGAACAGTCAGAATCAATAAAAAAATCCAAATCATAACCAGTGTGAAAATTAAAAGTGAAGCGACCTTTCTTCTGATATTTCCTTCATCAAATGGCAGCCATCTTATTTCCCCCCTTCAAATTAAATTGGCAGGAAATTCAGAGAAGTTTGAAAAAATTTAAAAAGCTATTTCTCTACAAGTGAAGTAAATGCATATGAAAACATTTGCGTGCGGTATTGGAATAAGTTGAAATGTGATGTAAATAAATGTTATTGGTATCGAATGCACAGCATGTTCTGGATAGATACGTGAATCATACATTATGTCAGCAATTAATTTTTTGTTCGGAGTTCGATAACGGGCCTCGAACGAGCTCGTACGGGCCTCGAAATTACGAGCCTCTTACATGCTAGTACAGGCCTCGAAAACAATAATTACGAGCATCGTACGAGCTCGCACGCGCCTCGAAAACAAGCTTCGTACGAGGATGGTGCTCCTTTTTGCCCGTAAAACTCGTAATTCTCGAGGCTGATGGGAATAAATCAGTCACAATGCATTGAGTCATGGGGTTATATTCTTTTCACACATTGCAAAATATTTTATACAATATCGCTTAAAAGATACGAAATTGCTTGAATGAATATATTTTCAAGGAAACTTTTTGCAAAGGTCAAAATGAGAAAACAAATACAACTAGACTTTTGAAGATTGCAAGCAATCTCACGGAGGCCCTCTTAGGCATTTTTGACAATTTGAAGGTCAACTAAAGGACAAATATCAAATCTGAGGTCAGATGTGAACTCCTGAAAACTTGTAGATGATTTTCAAAAAAAGATTTTGTCAATTTGAAGCGAGTTTAAATTTGACCTTGAAAGATTTCGAAATTGACCTTTTTTCAACTTTTGAACTCTTATATCTCAAACTGGGATAAAATTCAATTAGATAGTCAATTGCTAATATGTGTACAACCCTTAGAGGAATGTGTTTATTTCGACTCAGGATTAAAAATATTGGTTTGTAGTCGAACTTTGCGAAACTTAGATAGCACAGTTTGTGACCTAATTTCATGATCTTGACCTTTGACTTTGAAAAGTTTTACTTTTTCAGACCTCAGTAGGACTTTTGTAATTAAGCTGACCTAAATTTGAATCCAAAGACTCAATTTAAAAAATCAACTTTTCTT